TTTAACTTGGGCAGAGCCTGCCAAAATATTTTCCAAAGGGATTGCACCATGTTAAGCCATTTGGGTGGATGTGTAGAGGGATCAGTGTGGTTTAATTTAGCATCTCTCTAGTGACTGAGGATGTTTGTATAAATATATATATATATATTTTTTTTTAATTCCCAATTTATTTATTTTTGTAATTGATTTTAGAGAGAGAGAAACATCAATCAGTTGCCTCCCCCACAGGCCCTGACCAGGGATCAAACTCACAACCTGGGCATGTGCCCTGATCTGAAATCAAACCTGTCACCTTTTGGTGTACAGGACGAAACTCCAACCCACTGACCCACTCTGGCCAGAGCTGTGTATATTCTTTTGTTAGGTGTTTGTTCTGATAGTTTCCCAATTTTTAATGAGGTTGGTTGTCTTAATGAGCTGCAAGAATTTTAAAAAATATATACATATTCACAGTTTAAGTGCTTTGTTGGATATATGTTCTTGTAATGTATTTTTTATTGTTTTGGTGTCGGGGTCATGCTGGCCTCAAAAAATGAGTTGGGAAGTATTCCCTTCTCAATTTTGTGAAGTAGTTTGTGTATGATTAGTATTATTTGGTTCTTAAATCTTTGATGGAATTATGCCTGGAGTTTTTTTGGTGGGAAGGCTTGATTATGGACCTAATCTCTTTAGTATACATGTAGGTACTTAGGTTTTCTCTTTAATTTGGTGTCACTTTGGTAACCTGTGACATTCAAGGAATTTGTCAGCCTTGTTGACACTGTTGAATTTATCAGCATCGAGTCCTATGTCTCCTTATCTTGTTCATGTCCGTGTGGTCTGGGGTGCTGTCCCTACTGGTCCTCTGCTTTTGGTTTTTATTGATTTCTTCTATTTTCTGTGTAGTTTCCCCTCTTGTCTTATTACCTTTTCTTCCTACTTAGTTTGGATTGAATTGGTCTCCTTTCTGGTTTGCTGAGGTGGAGAGTGAGCCCTTTGCCCCCCCTTGTCTCCGATGCAGAATGCGCGGCGGCTCGTCCCTCTGGCTGCACTTGCACACTGTGGCCCTACCGTGCCCTCAGACGTCTTGTTTCATCAGGGGCTATCTAGGTGTTTGCAGTTTAGTCCCCAAATATTCGGGGTGGGGTGGATGATTCTTGATATCCTTTAAACTCTTAAAAATTACTGTTGATTTTAGAGAATTTTAAAAAATATCAGTATTTACCATATTACAAATTAAAAATAAGGAAATTAAAAAATATTTAACTCACTAAAAAACAGTAAGCTCATTTCATGTTAATATAAATGTATTTTTTTATAAAAAATAATGATTTTCCAAAACAAAAAGAAGTAGTGATGATTTTACAAGTTCGTAAGCCTCTTTTCTACCTGGCTACCTGGACAGCAGCGGGCTTCTCGTACCTGCTTTCGTTCCGTTTGTTACTGTCTTGGATCAAAGTGTGTGCAGAAAGCCGGGCTCCGTGTGGCATGCAGTTCAGTCGGAAGGGGAAAGAGTATTTTCATCATCTTTTTCAGATAATTATGCACATTTGTTTTTGATTCTACACCAAAACTTAACAAGTGGTAGTTTCTTGAAGGTTAGTTGCAAATCTGAAGCCATTATCAATTAACCTTTTTTTTTTGTTCTCACCCGAGGATACTTTTTCTTTTTTCATTTATCTTCGGATAGAATAGGAGGGAGAGAAGGAGGAAGTGAGAGAGAGAGAAACATCGATGTGAGAGAGACACATCGAGCGGTTGCCACCCACACGACCCAAACTGGGGCCGGGACACACCCCAACAGAAGTATGTGCCCTTGGCGGGAACCGAACCCAGGACTCTCCAGTCCGTGGGCCGACACTCCAACCGCTGAGCCAAACCAGCCAGGGCATCAAGTAACCTTTAAAAAGTGGAGATATAATTCACACTCTGTGCACGTCCCAGCAGTTCTCAGTGCGTCCCCAGGTGGTACAGCTGCCACCACAACTGCAAGCCCATTTATCTCACCCCAGGAGAACGTGCGCCCATCAGCAGTCACTCCTGCCATCCCCACAAATCTGTTCATCCCTATGGACTTGCCTGTTGGACACTCCGTGTGTGTGAGGCACACCCTGGCCCTCTGTCTGACTGCTCTCACTCGGTGCTGTTTCAGCTTGCTCTCGTTTAGCCCCGTCACCCCTCAGCCCCTTGCCGTAACCTTGCTTGAGGTGTGCAGACCTCCTCTGTCCCTTGGTGCTCCGCCCACACCTTCCAGCGTGTGTGTGTCTTTGCTCTCTTGAGCCGACCGCTGTGCACATTCGGGTGCATGTTTCTGTGTGGGTGTGCTTTGCTTTTCCTTGGGTGGATACCTCGGGGTCGAATTGCTGGGTCATGAAGACCTGGCAGACTTTTCCACAGCAGTGGCGCCTCTCACCTCTCACCAGCAACACCTGAGGTTCCCGATTTCCCGCGTCCTTGCTAACACTGGTTTTCAGATCTTCCAGTGCTGGCCGTGTGGAGGGTGTGAGGGTCTCACTGTGGTCTAGGCATGCGTCCTGGGGACTGGGCGGGGTCCTCTTCCGTGTGCTGAGGCTGTTGCGGGTCTTTGCAGAGGTATCTGTTTATATATATATATATATTTTTTTTTTAAACAGAAATTATATATATTTTTTTTCTTGATTAATATTAGAGAGAAAGATAGAAACATTGATGAGAGAGATAGAAACATTGATGAGAGAGAACATCGATGGGCTACCTCCTGCACGCACCCCAACTGAGGACTGGGCCTACAACCTGGGCATGTGCCCTGACCGAGAATCGAACCGGTGCCCTCTTGGTGCATGGGTCAACGCTCAACCACTGAGCCACACCAATCAGGCAATGTCTGTTCAGATCTTTTGACCATTTGAAAATTGGATTATTTATTTTTTTATTGTTATAAGAATTTTTTTATATATTTTTATGCTAGATCAATGAATTGTTTGTTCTATGAAAATCTGTTTCTCTTTCTTACCCTCTTCCTGTCCCTTTTACTCACCCATGATTTTGTAACATCATGTGCTGTCATTTGGGAGAATGTCTCACTGAGTTTTGTAGATTTTACCAGTATTGTCACATGATATAGCATCAAAAATGACATTTGTGACTATTACCACCAATCTAATCAGAAAATTCTTTCCATATTAGGAAGCTATCTCGATTCATTTTCCCCCAAAACTTTTTTATTTTCTATATTTAATTATGAAAAAAATTAAACATGCAGAAAGTTGAGAGTTATACAGAGAACAGCCATATATATACACCACCTACATTTTACAGTTAATATTTAACAGTACCACCCTGGCTGGTTTTGCTCAGTGGTTGGAGGGTCAGCCCACGGGCCAAAGAGTCCCGGGTTTGGGGGAAGAGATAAACCACAGAACTTATATGCATGTATGCATGAACAGTGGACATGGACAACAAACTGGGGAAAGGGCAGGGAGGGAGGGGGAGGGGGGAATCAGTGGGGGGAAAAGGAGAAACATCTGTAACAAAAATTAATTAATAAAAAAAAGAAAGAAAAAAAAAGAGAAAACCACCTTTGCTGTCAATCATCAAAAAAAAAAGAGTCCCGGGTTTGGTTCCCTCTAAGGGCACGTACCTCGGTTGCAGTTTGTTCCCGGCCCCTCTTGGGGTCATGTGGGTGGCAGCCACTCAATGTGTCTCTCACACGTTGATGTTTCTCTCTCTCTCTTTCTCTCTCCCTCCTTTCCCTCCCGTTCTATCTGAAGATAAATGCAAAAATGTCCTCGGGTGAGGATTAAAAAAAAAATTTAACAGTACTTGCTTTATCACTTATCCATCTGTTTATCCATCTCTTCTAATTCATTTACTTTTCTTTCTTTCTTTTTAATCCTCACCCGAGGATATTTTTCCATTTATCTTCAGATAGAGTGGGAAAGAGGGAGGGAGGGAGGGAGAGAGAGGGAGAGAGACAGAGAAACATCAATGTGAGAGAGAGACATACCGATTGGTTGCCTCCTACACGATCCCTACCAGGGCTGGGGATGAACCACAACTGAGGTACATGCCCTTGACCGGAATCAGGCCCACGACTCATTGGTCCACAGGCTGATGCTCTAACCAACCGCTGAGCAAAACTGGCCAGGGCCAATTCATTTACTTTTAAAGTTATCTAAATTGATTTTTGTTTTGTCTTTTTCTTTAAAAACAATTTCCTACCTTCTTTGTTTTTTGTTAATCCTCAGCCAAGGATATTTTTCCATTGATTTTTAGAGTGGAAGGGAGGGAGAGGGAGAGAGAGATACAGACTGGTTGCCTCCTGCAGGACCCTGACCAGGGCCGGGGTTCAAACCTACAACCCAGGTACATGCCCGTGACCAGAAATTTAACCCTGAGATCCTTCGGTTCACAGTCTGACGCTCTAACCGCTGAGCCAAACCGGCCAGGGCTTTCCTACCTTCTGATTTGAATCACATGAGTTCACTGATTTGTATTCTGGTTTATCGGTGAAAGATTCAGTTCTGTGCCTTTTCCTCAGTGTCCCTGTAAGCATCAATGAGTATTTTTCTCCATGGTATTATTTTATAATTGCAATTTTTATTTTATTTTTGACTTAATAATTCCAGGAGACGGTACTTTAATTTCTACAAAGTTGTTAACTGTTTAAGGAGTATACCATAAACTTGTGACTCAGGTTTATTTACTGTTTCTGTATGGTCAGGGAACTTGTGAGCCAGCGTTAGTTAGGCTCCTCAGTGGGGAATCTCAGCTGGCTGTCTTACCAGCAGCCTCTGGATGGTGACAGGGAAGGGTGCTGTGTGTCCTCATGGCGCTGGGGGCACCTCCTGAGCAGCAGGCCACGGGCTTCTCCATGTAGCACAGGTCACGTGGGGTCCTGGGTTTCTGCGTGGGTACAGTCGTCTAGGTAGCGCCTGCTTCTCGGAGCTGGAGTCGGACCAGTGGAGCTGGGGTCCTGGGTGGTGATGTGCATACAGTGTTGAAAAGCCATCGCCTTCTTGATGTGTTTTCTTCTCCTTTAGGTGAACCTTAAAATGAGAGAGATCACAGAGAAAGAAGTGAGGCTGAAGCAGCAGCTGCTGGAGAGTCCAGCTCATCAGAAGGTAAAGGACATCGGCTGGCAGTGTGCAGGCATGGCTCACGTCCAGAGGGCCGCATCATGGCCACCACTGGTCACTCACACCTCTTCTGCGCCCCGGCAGGCTGACTGCACCTCTCTCCCTGGCAGGATGTCTCGTGTGTAACCTGGGGGGTGAAGGGGGTGTTGGGAGGAAGAGGCTCTGGGCGCTGGCGTCTGTAAGTCAGCAAGTGAGAAGAATGTTGTGCACTGCCAGCAGCCTCACACACCCTGCTGCCCGAGAGGTCCTGGGGGGCTGACGCTATGCCCTAAACCCGAGTGGGGTTTTGGCAGGGCTGTGTGATGTAGCTGATGAAGTGACACAGGTGGTGTGGATGCATTCTGGTCATTTCTATCCTTTCTGCCCTGACATTGTTTATTGGCCAGATACGTGAACGATGACTCCACACCCTAAGCCCGTGCATGGCGTGGCCCAGCCGCGTCTCGTCTGCGGGAGCCCCTCAGGCTGTGGGGTGGTGGGCACCCTACACGTGCCTGCTTTTGTTTCTCCTGTTTCCAGACGAGACAGAGCACACTGCACCCCTCGAGTGCGCTTGGCATCTGTCTCTGGTGCCTGGCCGGTACCAGTTTCCAATATCCCTTGCTCCTGCAGAGGCTAGTGGTGTAGAGGTGCCCGTGACCTTTGGCTTGGGTCACAGCACTGCTCCCCTCACGTCCATACTGTGTCCACGTGTGTATGATGTCTGTCCACACGTGGGCTCGGCCGCTGACCCTCCTCTTCTGCCTTCTTCTCCCTGCTGCCCGAGCAGTCTCCCTCCAAGTGGTACTGGAAGCTGGTGCCCGTAAGTGGACCCGCACCGCTGCCGTCAGGTCATCCTGTGCCGTCTCGTGCTTCCATTCCTCTCACTCCAAGCCTGTGTCTGTGTGAATGTCCTGGTGCTGGTGCGCTCCGTGCAGTGTGGTGGTAACCAAGCGGGCGAACCGGGCTCCGTCTCACACGTAGCAGGAACTTGGGGTCCCGGCAGCATTATAGACAGACGCAGTCTGGTTGGTCAGTTTCCAGGGGGACTTTGCAGACAGTGTTCTGCGTTTCTGCTCACGGACACTGGCCCCTGTGCCACACGTGGACAGAAAGATGGGCTCTCTCCTCTGGGGAGGCCATCGCACCGAGCGACTCTGCTCTGCCCTCTCTGATGCAACGTCCTGAGGGGCACGTCTCAGCACCTGCATCGTGGCTGTAGTGCAGAGGTGACGGCCGAGAGGCCTTCTGCTGCCGCCCGTGCCAGGGCGGGCACCCCCCGCTTCCCAGGCAGGGGTCTCTGGAATCCTGGTAGCGAAGTGAGTTTCCCATGACAGGAACGTGAAAGGGGGTTAGGCTCCAGCCGGGCTGTGCTCTCAGGGTGCCTGCGGAAGGGGGTCTGGAACACAGCTCTCTGGATCTCAGTGCAGTGTCTGGGTCATCAGCCTCAGCATCCCGTCGCCTGGCGGTGCCCTGGGTGCACGCTGGCAGAGGGGTCCACGCCAGCAGGGGTTGGGTCCCCTGTAAGTTTGCTCTCTTTGAGATCTATGAATAACAAAGAAAGCGTTTTATGAATATTTACGTATGTTTTAATCTTTTGAATCCTGAAAGCCAAAGAGCAAAATGCTGACGTGATTCAGTGAGGGTCAGTTGAGAATTTAGCTGCCCTGCAGTAGGGGAGATTTCAGATGAGTTTCATAGGCTCTGAACAAGGACCCCGGGCTGTGGCCCTTCCAGTCTCCTTGTGGTAGTTGATAACCACCACTGTTGGACGGTCCCGCCGACGGGCCGCGAGGCTCCGTGTGCAGAGCTCTGTCAGTGGCAGGTCCCGAGGTGTCACCTTGTCCCTCCACGGCCTAGAGGTTAACAAACCTGACTGGCAGGTAGTTAGACGCACAGGTGTTTTCCCTGATTCTAAGTTCACTTCATTGATCTTCAATTGAGAAACCATTTCCTTCACTGCATGCTGTGGTCAGTTACCATGTGTGCTGTCTGTCTGTCTGTCTGTCTATCTGTGTGGGAGCTGGCCTGGCGCATGCCCTCGTGTCTGCATGCTGGAGCCACGACCCTCCGTGTCATAGCCTCTGCGGTGGCCTGAGAAACAAGTTCAAGTCTGTGGCCAAACAGACCTAGAGATATGGAAGAAGCCTTGGTCCTAATTTCAAAAGAATGTGTTACAGTGTTTTGTATCAGTATCGATGCTGAGGATTCTACACTAGATAGTTATTGAGAGACCACCGAGCAGTTCTCGACTGTGAGAGACCGTTTGCTCTGGGTTGACATGTCTGCGTAGCTGAGAACGCCCTGGCCCTCAGGGTGGCCTGCAGCTCCTCCCTGCAGTTTGCCTGGCGTTGTCCTCTGGAGAAGTGTGGCTGAGGGCCCTGCCGTGTTAAAGCTGTTGGTGCAGGTTGATGCAGAAAACCGGGGACGGCAGGATGTGTGGGGCAGCCTCCTGCGCCTCCTCCCCTGCTTCCGGTGATGGGGCTCGGGGCAGAGCAGCCCTGGCACCCGGCCTCCCCTGCAGGCGAGGCTGGGAGGCCCTGAGAAGCACGTGCTCTGCATGGCACTGCATGCCGCGCTCCAGTCTCCGGCTGCTCTGCGGTGCTCAGACAGCACGCGGGGTCTGTCTGACCTGGTTTCGGGAATTTCTCAGACCGGACGGTCATGCCACGTGGTATTTTCTCAGTGGCCTGACACGCCGGCCGCTGCTGACCCTGAGCAAAGTGGTGGTGCCTGGGCTCCACGCGGCAGGCGCTCGCCCTCAGCTCTTTTCTCACCGTCTGCGGCGTGAGCATGGCCATGTGGCCGTGCCCTCCCCCACCCCCTCCCGTCTGCGGCGGCCCTGCTGTCTCGCAGCCAGTCACTGCCATCAGTGTGGCCATGAGCTCCGTTCCCCGGGTCTTGACGTGTGTGTCCAGGCAAAGTATGTGACCCAGACATTTGAGCTTTTTCCTTGCTATGGCCTTGTTCTGAGCATTGTCCAGCAGCATGACGTGAATTCTCGGTTTACTTCTGCCTGTGATGTGGTGGCCGCCGAGGCACCTCCTGTAGAAACCTTCTTCCTTCTGTCAACCACAGGTGCGCTACCGCCGAGAACACCTGTCCTCGAGGCAGCCGCCCTACTTCCCTCTGCTGGAGGATCTGATGAGAGACGGCAGTGACGGGGCTGCTCTCCTGGCCGTGGTGCATTACTACTGCCCCGAGCAGATGAGACTAGACGGTGAGTGGGGCGCCCAGAACACACCCCGAGGCTCAAGAGCCTCTGAGCACACAGCCCCAGAGGACCACACCTCCAAGTCCTTAGTGCACCTGGGCGAGGAGCATGAGCCTGGGGATGGGGTGATGCTCAGGCCTGACCTGCCCTTTATTGGGTGAGAGGATGGGGGAATGAGCAAAAGTCTAGGACTTGACTCAGGTCTCAGCACGGTCAGGGTGTCAGTCTTGCTGCAGTGATTGAAATACCCGGAGCCCAGTGTGGGGTGGACACCGAGGGAAGAGTGAAGCAGGGCACAGACCGAGATGAGCGCCCCTCTGCTCGTCAGTGATGCAGGTGCCCTCAGCCTGACAGTGGGAGGGAGAGGTGAGGGCACCGTGAACAGACCACGGAGCGTCTGCCGAGGGATGCAGAAACAGGCATCCAGACCAGCGCTGAGCACCCTTCTCTCTGAGGCAGGAGACGCAAGTCCAGGAGGTGCTTGGAGCACGACCCTACCGGAATTTTTTCTGTTAGACTCTGGCCCCGGGGCCGATGGTCAGTCCTGCTCTGCTTCTAGTACAGGAGTGCTGGATCACATGGCTTTTAGACACAGCTTTAAAATACGTAGCTCAGCCCTGGCTGGTGTGTGCAGTGGTTAGAGCATTGCCCTTACACCAAGGGGCACATGTGGGAGGCAACCAGTCAGTGTGTCTCTCTTCCATCATGTTTCTCTTCCTCCCTTCCTCTCTCTCCTCCCTCTTCCACTCTCTCTAAAAAAAAAAAAAAAAAAAAAAAAAAAATTTTATATATATATATATATATATATATATATCAATGGAAAAATATCCTCAGGTGAGGATTAACAAAAAAACACAAACAAAAAACATAGCTCCCCACACAGGCACAAGCCCGCAGTGGTGCTGGTGGGTGACCCAGCGCAGAAGGATGAGATGTTTGCAAGTGGACGTGGCTACCCCGGGCAAGGCCTTCCTGTCCACTTGGAGGATGAAGTCTGTGTGGCCACAGTTTCCTGGAGTGTGAATGCACCTGTTTACCAGTGAACTAGATCCCTGCTGCCTACTTCAGCTTCCCAGGCAGATGGGAACACGTATATACAAATTCTGATTTACAGAACGGAGATAAGCAATTCATCAGATGCAGAGTTCAGAAAACAGGTTATACGGTTGCTTATGGAACTTGGTGAGACATTCAAGGGACCTAGTGAGACCTGCAAGGACCTTAAGGAGACCTTCAAGGAACTTAGTGAGACCATCAACAACATAAAAAAGGAGCAGTCAGAAACGAAGGATGCACTAACTGAAATAAAGAATAATTTACAGGGAATCAATAGTAGACAGGTAAAGCCAAGAAGGAAACCATCAATTGGGAATTTAAGGAAGCAAAAAACACCCAATCAGAACAGCAAAAAAAGAGAATCCAAAATGAGGATAGTGTAAGGAACCTCTGGGACCACTTCAAGCGTGCCAACATTTGCATCATAGGGGTGCCAGAAGGAAAAGAGAGGGAACAAGAAATTGAAAACCTATTTGAAACAATAATGACAGAAAATTTCCCTAACTTGGTGAAGGAAACAGACATACAAGTCCAAGAAGCACAGAGAGTCCCAAACAAGATGAACCCCAAGAGGCCCACACCAAGACACATCATCATCAAAATGCAAAAGGTTCAAGACAAAGAGAGAATCTTAAAAGCAGCAAGAGAGCCCTGGCCGGTTTGGCTCAGCGATTAGAGCCTCGGCCCGCGGACCAGAGAGTCCTGGGTTTGATTCCTGCTAAGGGCATGTACCTCAGTTGCAGTTTGTCCCTGGCCTGGTTGGGGTCATGTGGGTGGCAACCACTCAATGTGTCTCTCTTTCTCTCCCTCCCTCTCTTCCTCCTGTTCTATCTGGGGGGGGGGGGGGGGAGGCAAGAGAAAAGCAGTTTGTTAACTACAAAGGAGCTCCCATAAGACTATCAGCCGATTTCTCAAAAGTAACTTTGCAGGCCAGAAAGGAGTGGCAAGAGATACTCAAGGCGATGAAAAGGAATGACCTACAACCAAGATGACTCTGTCCTGCAAAGCTATCATTTAGAATCGATGGACATATCAAGAGTTTCCCAGACAAGAAAAAGCTAAAGGAGTTCATCACCACCAAACCATTATTGTATGAAATGTTGAAGGGTCTTCTTGAAGGAGAACAAAAATATGAACAATAAAATGTCAATTAATACATCTCTCTCAACAACTGAATCTACAAATAAAATGAGCAAGCAGAACAGAAACAGACTCATAGATACAGAGAACTTTTTGTTGCTTGCCAGATGGGTGGGGGCTGGGAGGATGGGTGAAAAAGGTGAAGGGATTAAGAAGTACAAACTGGTTGTTAGACTGATGAACCTCACAGGGAAGTAGGGAGGGAGGGCAGGATGAGATAAACCAAAGAACTTCTATGCATATATGCATAACCAACGGTCACAGACTAGTGTAGGAGAAGGCAGAAGTGGGGTGGATTGGGGAAGAGGGGCTCAATGGGGAAAAAAGGGGGGGGACATATGTAATACATTCAAGAATAAAGATAAGTAAAAAAAATAATAATAAAAAACGGACGTGAAAAAATGAGGCAAGTTTAACTTCAAGAAGAAGAGGAAGTCGAGCAGTGTCAGCAGGCCGCCACAGCTCGGCCCGAGAGGTGAAGGGAGACTTGGCTGGGTGGAGCACCCCTGCTCTCTGACTCATGCAGGGGCCATGGGACCCTCATGTCCTCCGCCCAGCGCAGGTGTGGGTGCCGTCCGCAGTGACAGGCTGGACACGGGTGCTCACTTCGCCGGAGGGGGTGGGGAGGGGCAGTAGGCAGGCCAGAAGATTGCTGTTTTTCCAACAAACTTTTAAAGTGCTGTTTGGCTTTTAAAGATATTATGTACTTTGTTAAAATAAAGATTAATTTAAAATTTTTAGTTAAATTCAGTAGTAAATCTTAATAGAAACTTTAAATGTATAAAACTAAAAACATTTTTTAAAAGATTAATACAACAGACAACCCTGTGTAGAGATTGATCAGGAAAAGAGGGCAGAAGTACAGACCAGCGCCGGGAGGATGTGAGCACGGACTCGACACCCAAGCAGACAGCGAGGGAAGTGCTGGGCGCCTGCGCGCTGAGGTGTGAGAGGAACTGAACCAGGAGCAGGTGGAAACCTGGACGGAGCCTGGACTGCACAGGGAACAGACCCGGAAGAGAGCGTGTCCACACACAGCTGTCCACCAGGTGTTCGATCGCCCTGTTTCCTAAGACCTGCCCCAGAGGAGAGGCAGGAGCTGTGTAGGAGGATCACTCCCTGGCCCGGAGCAGAGTGTGGAGCAGAGAGTGCGGGAGAGGGCAGCTCTCGCTGCTTGCCAGGCAGGCGGATCCCCGGAACTGAGCAGTCGAGTGCCTTCTACACGGGTGTCTCAGGAGGTGTGGCACAAAATGCTGTTAAAAGCCACTGCCCACGGGTGGTGGACGCTCCTGGCCTGCTGGTGCCTGATCTGACCCTACAGAGTTCTCCGGCCCTAACGTCCTTGGATGTGAATCTTCGAGAGGCAGGTTCTCAGCCAGACAGGGTTGGGGCAGCAGGCCGCCCCTCGGCCTGCTCTGTCCCCTGTGCTGCACTTCGGGCCGCTCGTGGGGAACGTCGCGAACAAGTGGGCTGTTAGCACACTCAGCTCTGCAAGAAAGATGCAGGACCCCCTGGAAGGGCTTGTGAACTTTCTGCAGAAATGCTGAGAATTGGTATAAAAATTGTAATTTTCCCATCTTGTTCATAAATTTATTGCCAGTCTGTAGATAATATTTTTTTTACTGAAATTGACAAGGTAATCTAAAAGTTCATGTGAAACCGTGAAGGCCGAAGGGACAGAATTAATCTCTGGCATTTCCTTGGTACGAGGTTCAGTGTGCAGAGGTGCACATGGGCTTCCTAAGCGGAGCGCTCCGTCAGGTTTGTGTCTCTTGCTCTCTGACCCTCGAGAAGGCCGTGGGGAGCAGAGGCGTTTCTGTCCCACAGCAGGTGTCAGGAGCGTCAGCAGTGGTGCGCACTGGCCTGCTCCAGGTCCGATTCCGCCAGCTGCCCGGCCGTCTGCCCCGCCGTTGCTCCCCTCAGGCTCTGTCAGCGTCCTCCCAGTTGCTGTCCGCTCTGTGGTCTCAGGTCTGGGGCCCTTCTTTGTTTTTCTTGACCTTGATGTTTTCAGACTCCAGGTCACTTAGTTTGTCGAATGTCCCTTGTTTGGTTTTGTCCAGTGTTTCCTCCTAATCAGATTCAGGGTGTGTGTTCTTAGTGAGAGGGATGTATCTTCTTGTCGCATCTGGTTGGGGACGCGATGGTGTGCCCTGTGTTGATGGCTCCAGCTTTGGTCAGGTGGTTCAGTTGACGTGGGATGGGTTTCTCCACTCTGAGATCATTAGTTTTGCTTTTTAATTAACTAGTAATTAGGGGAGAGGCTTTGAGACCATCAACATCCTGTTTTTCGTGGAAAGGTCATGAGGCGGTGTCATCCAGGGCAGTCTCTCCTTTCATACCTACTACTTAGCATCCTGCCACGAGGGGGCGCTGTCTGCTCGCCACGGGCTTGCTTGGTCCCTTGTTCGCTTGTGTTGGGATCCCCTCAGGGATGCATATTGCATTCAAGGGGTTCCAGTCCATCTCGGTCAGTATTCTGTTGCTTTGACGGTCCCAGACTTCAAGAAGAGGGGGTCACTTGCTGTGCAGAGGCCCAGCTGACCTGAGTGATGTGGGCTCAGGAGTTGCCATGTGGCCCTGTGGGGGGCCCACAGCTCACAGAGAGACAAGGGGTGGGCCCTCAGATGGCAGTGCAGACGGCTGTCTGTCTGGGGGATGCAGGGAGACCTCCCATGTGAGGTACACCCTGCCTTGGGTGCAAGACGAGCCCGGAAGAGCCAAGGTTAAGGACTTTGAAAGAAAATGCAGAGGGTATTTTCTAGACGTCGGAGTTGGGATGGATTACTTACTTAAATGACAGAGCAGCACAAATACTGGAGAAGATGCCTGTGTTAAAGTAAAGCACGTTAAATTCAGTTGGCAACACAGGGCATCATCAGCAGAAGTACCACAACCGTGTCCGTTGGAGGGATCTAGCAGGATAGTCGCACAATCCTGGGTAACCGTGTTGCATAGAGAATCCCTACACATCAGTAAGGAGAAGACACACAGCCCAGAGGTACAATAGAACAGGCTTTTCCCGGAGAGGAAATCAGAGTGACACCACCAGGGACACAGTCCACACCCTGTGGGGAGGGGGCGGCCTGGTGTGAGCAGAGTCCCCTTCTGGGGCATACACATGCACAGCACACACAGGCTCGGTCTGTGTAGCTGTTAAAATAAATGACTGGGCCCTGGCCAGTTTGGCTCAGCGGTTAGAGCGTCGGCCTGCGGTCCGGAGAGACCCGGGTTCGGTTCCCGCTAAGGGCACGTACTTCGGTTGCAGTTTGTCCCCGGCCCTGGTTGGTCGTGCGGGTGGCAGCCACTCGATGTGTCCCTTCACGTCGATGTTTCTCTCTCTCTCTCCCTCCCACTCTATCTGTACGAAAAATGGAAAAATATCCTCGGGTGAGGATAAAAAAAAATAAAAATAAAAAAAATAAATGACTGGAGTCTGCCCACATCAGCCTAGTCTGTTTGGAAAGGTGGTGCTGGGTCTGGGGAGCAGACGGGCTGAGAAATGGGAGGCATGATGCTGTCATGAATGTAAACGTGGGGGTGCCGGTCAGCAGGGCACACTGCTCGGGGCGGCGAATGTCACGGGCCCCGCCTGGGAGGGCCGCACAGCTCTGGGGGGGCAGTTGCCTGGGGAGCTGGGCTTTGACAGCATCTGTCCTTTTATTGCTGAAGGAGAACAGGATCTGCATTGGACACCGTGTGGCGGTGACGCATTCCATCTAGGTGCAGGGTACCTACCTGGGGGCTCATCTGTGTATTTGTAATACTTCACGGTCAGAATTTTTTAAAAAGAAACATCTCTTAGCAATAGGAATGTGCACAGTTACTCAGCTTGTAACTGGTTTCTCTGAGCATTCCTAGTGCTGGGTGTCCTCTAGGACCCTGGGACCCGCTCTGTGCTCCCAGACCCTCGGAGACAGCTTCTCAGGAAGCAAGTCACTTCGTCTGTGTTCCTCAGCTCCCTCTGTCAGCTGCCTGTTTGCCTGTTTACAGGCAGAATTAACTTAAATCAACATTACAGCTTCTAAATTAGTCTTGACTGTGTCTAGGGGTTCTTGTCTGAGAGACCACCAAGGAGCCCACCAAGGAGCACTCCCCTCAGGGAGGGCCGAGGGTGCTCTGGCAGCAGCAGGACACCTGTGCGGGTGTGCTGACCGAGGGCCTGCTCCTGCACAGTGGAGAACCGTGGAAATTGTCCTGTCCCATCACTAGTAACCACCTGTCCCCACCTGTATCGTGGAGGGAGACTTCTGCTGTGCCCAGTTTCCTGGATTTTGTGATCAATAGGATTTCTGTGTCATCCTGTGGGCAAGCCTGGTGTTTTTCTTGTATGTGCCACCCCCTCACCCCCACCGTGGAGGTAACTCTTTCAGAGGTTCCCGATGGTTCAGCCTTAACCAGCGTAAACTGAACGGTGACGGCGACCATCCGTTTTGGAAGCCCAGACTTAAAATCTCAAGTAATTCCAGTTATACTTTCTAGATGGTAACAGTTCAGTTCCGATTCTGGAGACTTCTCCAGTGTTTCTGTTGAGGGTTTTCTCTCTCTAGTTAGTGCTGCTTGTAGTACTAGCTGTGATATTAAAGTCTCTTCACGTCACGGCCTCTGAATGTCCCCGCTGCCTCCACACGTGTGCAGCAGGCGCCTCCTGGTAACTCGCACTTCCTCCTTCCTTGGCAGACATATGCTTGAAGGAGGTGCCGTCGATGGCCGACAGCCTCTACAACATCCGGCTTCTGCGAGAGTTCTCGAACGAGTACCTGAACAAGTGCTTTTACCTCACCTTGGAAGACATGCTGTACGCGCCCTTAGTGTTGAAGGTAACCGGGGGCTGTGGAGCACATTTGGAACCACACGTCTCACAGCCTCATGGGAACGAGCTGCTCACTGTGTCCTTGGTTTGTGTGTCCTGCAGCCCAACGTCATGGTCTTCATTGCCGAGCTCTTCTGGTGGTTTGAGAACGTCAGACCAGATTTCGTCCAACCCAGGGACGTTCAGGAGCTGAAAGATGGTGAGTGACAGCCACATTCCACAGGCAGCTGTCCTCTGAGAGGTGCTCAGTGCTTCAGGTGTCCCTGGTCCCGCCGAAGGCTTCAACAGCAGTGGTGTCCGAGTTCGGACGGCTTGGTCTGGGAGTGGGGCCTGCACCCTGTCTTCACGGCCTGTCTGGTGCCTCCCAGGTGGTCCTCGGGCTGTGCAGCTCTGGGCCCATCTGTCCCAGAGCCAGAGCCTCAGGGTAGTGGGTGGTGATGAGGTGCAGCTGTGCTCGGGTCTGCCGGCCGCTCCCACCCGGCATGGCCTTACGTTTGCCCCCCAGCAGGCGGACCCCCTGTGTTCATCGAGTAGGACATCTGCCTGCCTGCCTAGAGAACCTTAAACTCCCAGGAGGTGCTGGGAGTGTGTTCTCATTCTTGCAGTTCCTTACAAAGGAAGTCAAGATGCCACAAAGGAAAAAGTTGATAATTTAGCCACAATAAAGTAAGATCTTTTTTTCATTAAAAGATGACAAAGAGTAAAAAAAAAAATCAACTGTCCACAGGGAGAGGAGATAGTTGCCACACCAATAGGTCACTAGACTGTGTACAAGTCCCCACAGCAGCGCCCACAGCAGTGAGCAGAAGGCAGACCCGCAGGGAGACGAGCAAACGCACCCTGACCACCTGCCCGCTCACTCACGGAGGTGCTCTCCTCAGTAGTTGGTGAAAGTCGTTGTGACCCCCAGACGGGCGGGGGCAGTCGAGCAGTGCTGGGCTCCTGCTGTGCCCAGGGCAGGCTTCTCCACCCTGTCCCCAGCTCAGGCACCTCAGCATCCCCCTCACTGGAAGGGCCAGTAGCCTTCTCTGCCACCCCATCCAGCCCACCCAGCACCCACAGGAGTCCCAGGAGGCCGTGTTTCGTGCCCGCTCACCTCTTTGCCTCGGACCTCACTGCTTTCCCAGGAGCCTGACTCCCTCCCTCCTGGAGACTCACGGGCAGCTGCTCACTGAGCAGGAGCTGGGTGCAGAGCACGGTGGGATGGGTGCTGGGCATGCAGCCAGGCCCTAGGGTTGTCGTGTGGCCACCTGCGGGGCACTGCCGTGTCTGCTCCTGGAGGACGGGCCCTGGGGGATGGCTGTGTGCAGGCAGGGTTCGCGGGTGGGCTTGGAGGCAGGAGACAGCGCAGGCGTGTGGGAAGCTGCAGTGACCTGGTGGTGACCTCCCCTTGGCTGCTGGGCCTCAGAACGGGCTTGGAGACTCCCACTCGGGTGTGCATGACCAGTGGGTCTCGAGACAGGTCCCCTTGTGCAGCCCCCGTCTTTAAGGGGTGTCTGTCTAATGCATGCTGTGTGGGTGGCTGGGCCTGGGCCAGTGAGGACAAACCCTGCAGAATGTGTGTCTGACGGAGCAGGTGCTGGCCTCCTGGAGCCACATGGCTGATGGGCCACCCGTGGCCTCCTCGAGGATTAGCCATGCTGGGTAGGGCTCAGCATTGGCCCCGTGGGCGCCTGGTAAGTGGGGATGTGCCCTCTGGCTCCTGTGGTTAGGTCCATCCCTGCCTCTGGCTGCTTCACCATGTGCCCGTTGTGCCAGCCTGGCGGGTGGTGACAGACTGGCTGGCATAGCCACACATCTGTGCGCATTCCATCTGTAGCGGTGCTTGGCCTCGTCAACAGCTCCCAGCAGAGGCCCCTTGTGGCTGTTGACAGCAGCCAAGGGTGTGGTGCCCTGGAGGGAGATGATGGGCGGGCGTCTGGGCCCTGCACCTCTCCGTCTTACAGTGACCTACCAAAGGGCCAGTGCGCCCTGTGACTGGGAGTGCCAACGGCCCTCTGCGCGTGTTGGACAGTCCCAGACGTGGGCACGAGGTGTGTGGCAGGCTGTGTGAATGCCCACCTGGCTGTTCTGGGGAATTGTTTCCCTTGAGGCAGGAGCAGGGCTGCCCCAGAACCTGGGGTGCTGCTCTCTGCCTCTGCCACCGGGACGTGGAGCCTGGGGCCCTCTTTCCTCTAGGAGCTGCAGAGGGAGGGGTGCTGGCCTGTGTGCCCAGGCCTCGGGGGGGCTTCCTGCCTGGCGCCCCTTTCAGAGCCTCTGTCACTCAGCTGGAGTGGTGCTCCAGGTGCTCTGTGCTCCTCCAGCTCCTCCAGGGGACAGGCTTGAGGTGGAGGAGCTTGGATGACCTGCTGTGCTCTTGAGAACGTCACGAGTACAGCAGGACCGAGTCTGTCCAGGAGCGGCTGGGTCTCTGCTCAGGGTCTCAGGGTGAACCAAGTTGTCGCCTGTGCCCAGCTCTTTTCTGGATGCTGTTTCCAGGCTTCTCGTCGTCAGCAGTCACAGGACTGAGACCCCTGTATCTCTGCAGCACAGGGCCACTCGCTCTGCTCCTGGAGGTCAGAGGTGGCTCTGGGGGCCTCTGCAGGACAGCTGCACTGGGCTTCTGCTTGCCTGCCTTTGGCCAGGCTCCATCTGCTGTTCTCGGGAGAGGCCTGGGGTGCTGCGTGGAGATACAGGGGCCACCGTGCGTCCTTTAGCTCCTCCAGGGGCACTGACCCCGTCATCCCTGATGGGATCATCATTGGTTCTCGTTTACACCATCTTGGTTTGGGACGAGGCCATTTCTAAGGCTCCCCTCAGCCTTCCCAACACCCGGTGTGGCTGGCGCAGCAGGCACCAAGTATGCCCACTCCGAGCATACATTTGGAGACTGGGGGATGGCCCAGGCGGCCTCCATCCTTCCCCACTTGGACGGGCCCCCGTGGTGCTTTAGTCTCCAGTATGCGTACTGACTTGGACCTGCGTCCAGCGGCCTGCACCGTGCTGGGTGTCCCCTTGCCCCACTGCACAGCCCCTGAGTAAATGCCGTCTGTCCCTGTGGGGAAGGACCCGGGGTCCCTGCCACGTCTTGCCTTAGTGCTGCAGGGCTCTATCCAGGCAGTCGGTTCTAGGCACAAACCCTGGCTCCGAGTAGTGACTCTCTGAGGGGGTGGCTGCCCTCAGCACCCTGATCATCATCTTTGGTGTCCTCTCCTGGACCAGGACCCTCTAGCCGGCTGCCCGCCCCAGGGAGGCTGTGCTCTGCTCGTTCCCAAGGTCACCACCAGGCCTGGTGGCTGCCTCTCTTTCCCTGCGGTCCCACAGCCACCTGGCCGCCCGGTGCAGGGATCTCAGGCAGTCCTGGTGTGCTGCCAGGGGCCCTCGCGTCTGTGTGTTGGGGTGTCTGTCCCCCTGCCTCCTCCGCCTTCCATAGCACACAGCCGTCCTGGTCACTCCCCTTGGTCAGCAGAGGCCACTCTGTTAGTCCATGCACGCAGCTCATCAGGGCACTGCAGCACGTGTCTCTCGAACCCTCCCAAAGTGGCCCTCTCTCTGATCCAGGCCAGGCCCTGGCTGCTGCCCTACCCTCCTTGCTCCCCCGTGGGGTCTCTTTCTCCCTGACAGGCCCAGCCCATGCTGGTGAGCCTGGTGGCCAGAGTGGGGTGGGGGCAGGTCCTGCAGGGGCACATGACATCTTGCTAGAGGCCTCCGCAGGTCTCCAGACACAGGGTGGGGCAGGGTGGTGGTGGTGCTGGCTTCCCCAGGAGGGGGACTCTCCTCTCTAGGCACCTGGAGTTCTAGGGAGTCTGGGGATTCAGGTTCCCAAGGCCCAGAGTCCCTGTCCCATGTGTTGGGGTCGGCACGGCAGCTTCCACAGCCGGTTTCCTGAGCCCCAGACCTCGGGCTACAGCAGAGCAGAGCTACGCCAGCGCCTCCCGGCTCCAGGCCTCCTGTTACCGTCTCTTCACACTCAGGGGCAGCGGGCTCAGGCCAACCACCCCGCCGGTCGTCCCACGAGCTTCCCCACGCTTACCTCACCTCAGCCTCTGCGTCCCCCTGCTGGCCACCCCCTGTAGACTGCCACCCGTGCCAGGGCTGTCCCCCCTCCAGCCGCCGTGCTGCTGGGTCCTTGTTGCCAGCTGGCCAGGGGGGATCCAGCCCCCGAGTCCAGCTCCTGCCGCCTTGGACTGTCCCTGGCACCGCTGTCTAAGGCCAGCTCTCTGGGGAGCAGTTGGAGACAGGGTTCCTGTTGAGGGACTGCAGTGACCACTGGGGTGGTCGGTCACACTGGAGGCTGCTTGTTGGTGGTCAGAGACACGCCAGCCAGTTTTACCACTTCTTGTTCTAATCTATGTTGTATCTGTAAGTTTTAGTGTAGTGTATGTAGTGGTCATCGTTACAGAGTACATTTGTCATACTTGAACAGGTTGTTTGGAGAAGCTTGGTTTCAAAAAGTAGTGTTGTTTTTGGTGCTTATAAAGCTGCTGGGTGTTTGCATGCTTCTTGCTAAGTACTTGTAACTGACATAAGCATTTCTGTACAATTTCTATTTCTGCAGCAAAGACAGTGCCACCCCAGAAAGGCAGTCGGCCCCGTGTCCCCATCTCCAATGCCACCAAGCGCAGCTTCCTGGGTGGCCCCTCGGTAGTGGGCCCGGCCGAGCTGCAGCCCCCCACCCCGCTGTTGGCCGAGGGATGTCCCCGGTACCATCTGCACCCCGAGGAGCCGGAACATTTGTAAGTCTGTCTGCTTTCGGAGTTAAGTCGCCATTCTGTTTTACTCTTGTTCCTGTTCACAAGAGGGAGTAGGGACAGTGAGCAGGAGGAGGTGGTGAGAGGTCTCCCCAGAGGCAGGAGGGGGTCCGGATGCACGCTCGATTCTGCTGGTGGGATTGGACGCTCATCTGTCAGACTAACCAGTGTTTTTCCCAGTGCAGTTGTGGGTTATTTGTCCCAAGTTTGAAGTTCTTGGGACTCTTAGTAATTATTTTCCCCAAAGAATCAGAATTTCTCACAGAGGGTGTGAACTAATTCATGATGGTCTCTAGTTTCTTTTGTATTTCCTTTTTCCTTGGCGATTGCTAAGCCAGTGGTTTTTCTCTCCTGAATTCAGGGGGAAAGGAGCTTCTGCCTTCAGCCCATCGCACCCCCTGCTGCCCCTGCGGCAGCGACAGCAGAGGCCGGTGCCAGGAGAGGACCCCCCAGGTGAGCGCCCTCCTATCTGATGGCTGTGCGCGGGGTGACGTGCTCTCATGTGGCCTCGTGAAGTCTGGCAGAACCGTAGGATCTTTACGGTGGACATACCATAAATCTAATAAATTGTGTGATGATACAGAAAGCCGCCTTGTTTGTACCTAAGCAAGAACTCGCATGTATTGATGTTCCTTAAAATGGGGTCTTGTTATTCCGTGACCCTGTTAAGTGCTGTGCCTCTCACTTTTGAAAACTGCCTTGTGAGATTTTGTACTTTCCGTGAGCAGTCTGGGGTGTTAATGCATTTCCCTGAGCAGCGGTCTCTGTGCCGAAAGGGTTTCCAGTGACACAAATGGGTTCCTTCCCGCTGAGCACTGACTGCTTCTCGCGCCCTGCAGATCAGCGGCATCGGTCCAGCTCCTTGACCCGAGTGGACGGGCAGCCCCGGGGAGCAGGAGCAGCATGGCCAGAAAAGAAAGACAGGTGAGCTGCACGTCCCTTAGACTGAGAGCAGCCTCCCCCCGGGCCCGGATCCTGAGGTGTGCCGAGGCCCTGCAGTGCGTTCGTGGGGCAGAGGGCAAGGGCACCCTGATGGGAGGTGCTGCAGCCGACTGAGTCGCAACCGGTGTAAGGACCCTGCCAGGCAGCGCAGAGATCTGCAGAAGTGTGAGCCGTGTCCTCCTTACACTGCCAACTCTTTGGTTTCAGAAAATGACTTTGTTTTTTGCCCTGGCTGAGTTTGTTCAGTGGTTAGAGCATTGGCCCACGGACCAATGAGTTGTGGAATCGATTCCGGTCAAAGGCACGTACCTTGCTTGTGGGTCATCTCTGGCCCTGTCGTGTGAAAGGCAACCAGTTGATGTCTCTCTCTCTCTCTCTCTCTCTCTCTCTCCCCCTATCTCCCTCTCCCCCCCTTCCTCCTTCCCACTCTGTCTGAAGATAAATAGAAAAAAATTGGGGGGTGAGGATTTTTTTTAAAATGTCACTTTTCATGTAAATTTATTTTAGCCCTGGTTGGTTTGGCTCAGCGGTTAGTGCACCAGCCCACGGACCGGAAAGTCCCGGGTTCAGTTGCTGCTAAGGGCATGTACCTCGGTTGCAATTTGTCCCGGCCCTGGTTGGGGTTGTGTGGGTGGCAACCAGTCAATGTGTCTCTCTCACATCGATGTTTCTCTCTCTCTCTCTTCCCCCTTTCTCCCTCCCACTCTGTGTGAAGATACATGCAAAAAATGTCCTTGGGTGAGGATAAAAAAAGCATTTTAGCTTTGATTTCTAGTATGATAAATATTGGTTAGTAACGATAAATATAATAAGTAAAACTGGGATTCTCAGTAGTTTCTAAGGGTGTAAAGGGGTCCTGGGAGCAAAATGTTTGAGAATCTGAATGAAACCAGCTCTGGCATTTTTTGATCAGGGGAAGGGTTTGTCTGACTTCATCATTAAGGTTCATGTTCTCTTTTCGTGTCTGGTGTCACTCACTGTTGGAGTCGCCCCTGCTGTGACAGCGGCGTGTCCAACGGCTTCTCCCTGCGTTGCAGGCCGGCATCTCAGCCAGCGCCCTTTGCTCTGCATCACACTGGGAGCGGCGACGTGGACCCCGGCTCCAGCGACAGCGTCAGCTTGGCCCGCTCCATCAGCAAGGACAGTCTGGCATCCAATGTCATCACCCTGACCCCACAAAACCAGCCCCACCCCACCGCCCTGAGGGCCAATGGGAAAAGCCTCCTGAACAATGTCAACATTGAGGATGAGGACGAAGAGCTTGTGGCCATTATCAGGACGGATGGGGCTCCCCACGGCGGTAGCCTGGGCCCGACATTCAGCGCCAGGTCTCCGCAGAGCCTAGCGAGCACCTTAGGAAGCAGGCCTGACAGTTTCTTCTTGGAGCCGTTGCTGCCGGCGCTGCTCCGGCCTGCCAAGGAGGAGCAGGCGGTCGCCAAGGAGGACGAGTGTGGGGAAGGGCGGCCGAGGGGTCGCACAGCCAGGAGGCCGGGCGAGGGCCACCTGCCTCTGGGGCGGAGGGAGGCACCTGGCCGCCACATCGGTCGAGACTTAAACAGGACTTTCACCCCAGTCTCCTGCTCAGAGCTGAGCACTGAGGGGGCGCCACAGGCCGGGGAGGCCCTCGGCGAGCCTCTGGCCAGCGGTAGTTTTGATCCGTTATCTCAGGGACAGTCTGCCGACGGCTTCTTTCTTCACGTGGCCAGAGCGAACGAGGACACGGAAGGCAGGCTCTACGTCAGCCATGTGAGAAGCCCTCGCACCCACGACACAGAGCCCTGGACGGTCCTGCGGCAGGACTCGGACTCGGATGTCGCAGACCTGGAGGAGGCTGAGCAGGATTTCATGGGTGAGGACCACCCTGTGCTGATGGCGAAGTACATGGGTGAGGAGGAGTCAGCAAAGCTGCGGGAGGACATGCAGGTGAAGGAGCACGAGGACAAGGATGGTGCCAGCGGCCGCTCCAGCCCCTGCCTGAGCACCGTCTCCCAGACCAGCAGCCTCTCCATGGCGAGTGGGAGCGCGAAGATGACCAGCTTCGCGGAGAGGAAGCTCCAGCGGCTCAACAGCTGTGAGAACAAGTCCAGCACGAGCAGCTCCCAGAAGACCACGCCTGACGCCTCGGAGAGCTGCCCTGCCCCGCTGACCACCTGGAGGCAGAGGCGCGAGCCGAGCCCCGGCAGGCAGGGCAGCGACCATGCCCGCCTCCTGGCCTCTGAGCTGGCGCAGCTGCACATGCAGCTGGAGGAGAAGCGCAGGGCCATCGAGGCCCAGAAGAAGAAGGTGGAGGCACTGTCTGCCCGGCAGCGCCTGAAGCTGGGCAAGGCGGCCTTCCTGCACGTGGTGAAGAAGGGCAAGGCCGAGGCCGTCCCCCAGCCCCTGAAGCTGGAGCACTTGGCTCGGGAGTGCTCGCAGCAGGAGGGCGACCTGGACGGTGCTGTGACCAAGCCAGAAGAGCTCGTAGTGAGGGAGCAGGGCGGGGGAGACACCGGGGAGGGTCAGGACGTGGACAGAGAGGGCCTGGCCCTGCTGCCGCGGCACAGGCAGAAGGAGCCTGCCGCCCTGCAGGAGCTGGAGAAGAGCAAAGCACTGTCTGCAGCTCTCCTGGAGGCTGCTGGGGACGGGGCAGACCTGGGCGAGGGCGACCTCTCCATCGAGAAGCTCAACGAGACCATCAGCACGCTGCAGCAGGCCATCCTGAAGATCTCTCAGCAGCAGGAGCAGCTGCTCATGAAGTCCCCTGCAGCTCCCACACCAGGCTCCAGAAATAATGCCCAGGACTCAAAGGTCAAGGCGTCCATCCACTTTGTGGAGCCGCTCTCGCCCACTGGGATGACCGGTCACCGCAAACCTCCCCGTCTTGGGCAGGGTCGGAACTCCCGGTCAGGAAGACCTGCAGAGCTGAAGGTTACGAAGGACAGGCAGCAGGGCTCCAGGAGTAAGACCCCAACACCCAGTGCAGAGGCCCTCCTGCACTCACGGCCTTTCCCGCCTCGGACGCCCTCTGACCTGGGCTGGGACGGTGTCACGGACCCTGGGAGTGACCCTCACGAGAAGTGCTTCTTTGACAGTTACCGGCTCCATGAGGGGAGCAACCAGCGGGCCTTTGTCCTGTCCTCGTCCAAAGATGCAAACATTCTGTCAGAACAAATGAGCCTCAAAGAAGTCCTGGACGTGGGTGTGAAGGAGGGAGTGCTCAGTGCCCCTGCCGTCTCGGGGAAGGAGGAGGGCCCCGAAGATGGGCCCCCACGGAGCAGAGTCAGCCTCATCGAGGTGGACCTGTCAGACCTGAAGGCCCCCGAGGAGGCGGGGCAGACGGAGGAAGGCCACGAGAGCTCCGTGGGTGTCAGCAGTGAGGGCGACCAGAAGTCGGGGGTCGGCTTCTTCTTCAAGGTAAACTGCTGGCGTTGCCGTGCCCGGTGTGGTCCGGTGTTGTCACTGCCGTGTGCTGAGGGTGCTGCAGGGACTTGTGTTGGGAGCAGGGCCCGCAGACCACGCTGTGAGGACAGGAGTCCAGGGCAGGGCACTGTCTCTGTCGCCTGCGCCCTCTGCCCCGAGTGTGTGCCATCAGAGCCTGGCTCATGGCGTGACATGGATTTCATGCAGTTTTTACGTGTCACGAAATAGTTTTCTTTGGATGGCTTTCTAGTCACTTAGAAATGTAAGAACAGTCTTAGCTCACAGGCTCCCTAGGAGCCAGGGCAGGCCGGGCGGGCCTTCGGGCTGAGGTCTGCTGGGCCTGTGGCGGGTGCACGGCTGTGGACAGCAGGAGCCAGGGCAGGCCGGGCGGGCCTTCGGGCTGAGGTCTGCTGGGCCTGTGGCGGGTGCACGGCTGTGGACAGCAGGAGCCAGGGCAGGCCGGGCGGGCCTTCGGGCTGAGGTCTGCTGGGCCCGTGGCGGGTGCACGGCTGTGGACAGCAAGGGCGCTTCCTCTGCCTCGTTGCCGTTCTCTGAGGAGGGAGAGAAGTGAGCTGTGAGAGCCCCCTGTCCAGCAGTGTCCCCGTCCTCCTGGCGCCGTGAGGTGACGTCCGAGTCATCTTCGCGGACGCGCGCCCTGCGTGGGCTCCCACAGTCAGTCAGCAGGCGTCGGCTCGCTGCGGGTGCTGGTGCCCTCGGAGTGGACAGGCTTCACGATGCTTTTTGAGTGGACGGCGTCTTCTCCGTCGGCGTGTCGGCCTCCTGACGAGGCTGATGCGGCAGATGGAAGGAGCTCGCTGGTCTGGGCTGTGCATTGTTTCTCGGCTGGGTCGGGATGCTGGGCAGGGCGGTGTGTGGAGGCTCCGCGGCTGGGCCTGCCCCGAGACGCTGTCTGTTCCGCAGGATGAGCAGAAGGCGGAGGACGAGCTCGCCAAGAAGCGGGCAGCCTTCCTCCTGAAGCAGCAGCGCAAGGCCGAGGAGGCCCGTGTGCGGAAGCAGCAGCTGGAGGCAGAAGTTGAGCTCAAGAGGGACGAGGCCCGGTAACTGGCTCTGTGGGGCAGGGGGTGGGGCGAGGCTGGGCTGGTAGCTCCTGTGTCTCAGGACGATCTCATGTCACATCCTCTCCCCCCCAGCCTGGGAGGTGTGTGCATCCACCCCGTCGTCAGGTGGCCCGTACGTGTGCTGCTGGCGTGGTGGCTGGGCTGCAGTGGGGCTGGGCACTGGCTTGGGGTGGGATGCGGGCCCTCCATGCCCAGTGCTGCTGCAGGAGGCTGTGCCTGGCTAGCTCCGGGCACCCCCTCTGAGCAGGACTCAATATTTCCTCTCAGGCGCAAAGCCGAGGAAGACCGGATACGGAAGGAGGAGGAGAAGGCACGGCGAGAACTCATCAAGCAGGAATACCTGCGCAGGAAGCAGCAGCAGATTCTAGAGGAGCAGGGACTAGGCAACTCGAGATCGAAGCCCAGAAAGCCGCGGCCAAAGTCAGTCCACCGGGAGGAGCCCCGTAACGACTTAGGAGCCAAGTGCCCAGCCTGTAAGCAGGCCCGGCGGTGTGGGCAGTGCCTGGTGCCCTCGTCCAGGGGATGCTGTGATGGGGCTGTGTGGGCATCTTGCCTGGGGGGTTGTGCTGCAGAGTTCAGGGTGTCGCTCGTGGCTGCCCTGGCTCTGCTGCACAGACGGGCGAGACGGACCACGTCGACAAGAGCGTTTCTTTTCTGGCAGCTGATGACCTGAGCCGGGCCCAGTCGGGCTCCAGCCTGTCCTTGGCCTCTGCAGCGACGACCGAGCCTGAGAGCGTCCATTCAGGGGGCACGCCCACCCAGCGGTAAGGGCAGGGGTGTGGCCGTGCATCCCTCTCCCCTCCCAGTCACTTTGACGTAGGTGTTTAGGGTGGGCCTTTTCACTGGCGCTGAAAGAGTCCCCTTTGATTGACGAGTGACTTGGGAGGAGAGGCTGGGCCTTGGTAAACTCCCACGTGCTGTTGGCCTCCTCTGGTGGCAGCCCCACCCCACCTGTCCACTCTGTGCTCCCTCGGCCGCACCCTTTCCACCTGTCTGGTGGTCTCTTGTCACCTGGGATCCGTGGAGGCTGCCTCTCAGGGACTCGGTTTGGGTTTGATTTTCGTTCTGGGATCAGTTACCTGAGCTGGATTCCAGTTCCAGCTCTGTCTGCTTCCCCTGTGCGAGCAGCTCTGTTCCGCCACCAGCGACGCTGCTGTGACCAGTGCAGGCTGCCTGTCACTGAGACCCACTCGGGGTTCAGACTCCGCGGCTGTGTCTCCTCTCTTCCCCCCAGGGTCCCATCCCTTACTTGGCTGCCGCACGGATGGCCTGGCTTCTCCAGCCAGCAGGGGCCAAGCGCCTCCCTGCCAAAGGCTGCAAGAAGGTGACCCCTGATGGAGGCGGGCTCCCCTCCACCTGTCCACTTTTGTCAGGCTGGTGCCTGAGGTGTGGTTTCTGCGTCCTGCCCGGGGCTTATAACTGCGTGGGGAATGCAGTTGTGATTGCGCCGTGTGCTCACTGTAGTAGTGCTCCTGCCCCTGCGGATGGTCCTCACACAAGGTGCCCCTGGCCCACGCAGGGTGGGAGTCCACCAGCCAGTGGGCAGCGGTGGGCGAGAGGACGGTCTGAGACCGTTGCGTGTCTGCCCTTCCCTCCAGAGTTGAGTCCCTGGAAGCCTTGCCCACCCTGAGCCGCAACCCCAGCAGAAGCACAGACAGGGACTGGGAAACGGCGTCCGCGGCGTCCTCTCTCGCCTCGGTGGCTGAGTACACAGGTGACAGCCTTGCTCCCCTGGAGGTCGTGGGCACGCATGCACGTCTGCGGGGAGGTTGCGCTGCGGAGTGTCCGTGTCCCTGGGAATCGGGTACTGCCGGCTCTCCAGCTGGTCAGCTGCACTGCCCCATGCCCGCGTTGTGCCCTGGGCACCTGGGAACCTCAGGTTTTTAACATTATTTCCTGACTTTGTTTTGTTGTTCCTACAGCAAAGAAATGGGGATTGGGAAGGGGCTACATTGTTAGCAACTCAGTCTTTTCCTTATTTTATTTAAAGTGTAAACTTCATTCTTCCAAATGAATGTGAAGGGGGTCTTCCCTTTTATAACATGTATGGACCCGCCCTGGCCGGTTCGGCTCAGCAGTTAGAGCATCGGCCTGCGGTCCAGAGAGACCCAGGTTCGGTTCCTGCTAAGGGCATGTACCTCGGTTGCAGTTTGTCCCTGGCCCAGGTTGGTCATGCGGGTGGCAGCCACTTGATGTGTCCCTTTCACGTCGATGTTCTCTCTCTCTTTCCGTCTTTCTCCCACTCTGTCTGAACAAAAAATGGAAAAATGTCCTCGAGTGCAGATAAAAAAATGGAAAAATAAAATGCACGGACCCACACTGTGTCTCGCCGCAGCTCCGCTGTGGGAAGCTCGGCCCTTTGCTGCGAGTGCCTCAGGGTGTCAACCTTGCGGGTCTCGCCTGCTCTCCCCAGGTCCCAAGCTCTTCAAGGAGCCCAGCAGCAAGTCCAACAAGCCCATCATCCACAACGCCGTGTCCCACTGCTGCCTGGCCGGCAAGGTGAACGAGCCGCACAAGAACTCGGTCCTGGAGGCAAGTGTCGGTTCTTCCCGAAGGAAACGTCCCCGTGGCCCATGTGCCGCTGGGTGGGGAGTGCACCTGGGCGTGGATGCTGGGGAGGCCTGTTGCGCACTGGCCGGGGCTTTAGGAGAAGCACACGGACAGAGAAATGGGGGGCTGCCCTGGGTTGGAGCCGGGGCTTGAGGGGCACCAGTGAGCCTTCTGCCCAGGGCTGGTGGGGGCGGGGGTGGTGGAAACGGGTGTTAGTTTGGAAGCACAGGAACCGTGGAGAGGAGACAGCAGTGGTGGTGCTCCTGGGGGCGGCCGCCTGCGTCCAGGTGGGGACAGGAGGAGCTGCAGGAGCGTGGCAGGGTCCAGGGGCTGAAGGGGAGGGGCGTGGGCAGGGATTCCATATTGAGCCTGGATCTGGAAGTGGACGTCCAGGGGTGTGCGGTCCTTCTTGCTGTGACTGCCCCGAGGGCCGAGCCCCACACCTGAAGAACACGGTCAGGCCCTGACCCTGAAGGGGGTGATGCCGCCTCAGCCGTGGAAAGATCTGGAAGGCAGTTAGCAGTGGAGGGTCGAGGTTAGGACCTGCATGCCCTTCGCCTGGCGGGGCCTGAGCCTGGGGGGGGGATGCTGTTCCCGCGGTGCAGGAGGGGGGCCGTTTCTCTGTTCCGTGTCAGGGCTGCTCTGGGCGCCGGGTCCTGCGGGAACAGACCAGCATTCTGGCATGGAGCTGGTGTGCTGGTGTGAGGCTGCCAGGTGCAGGGGACTGGGCTGCTCCCACAGCGGTCAGACAGGAGAGCTGCCCAGCTTGCGGGCCGTGGTCTGTGTCTCTCAGCTCTGACGCTGCCGCATGAAATCCCCACAGACTGTGTGAACAGGCTTGGCACAGTCCCCATAAAACTTGACAAAATGAGGTGCTGCCTTCAGCCCTCAAGCTTCAGGCTGGACAGTGCTGAGCGATCTGTGGAAGACGGAGGGGCAGGGCGGGTCCCGGGGTGGCTCAGACCAAAGTGATGTTGGTCAGAGCAGAGACCGGGAGGAGGAGAGAGGCACGCAGATTGGGGAAGACAGCTCCGGGCAGCTTGAGGAACACCTGGGAGTCCAGTGGGGTCAGAGGTCACAGGGCACCTTCCATGGGGCCTCCGCCCAAGGAGGATCCCCAGCTCTGAGGGGGAACGCAGCTGTGGGCAGAGGGGCCATAAACTGACCCCTGCGGCACCACGGAGAACAGACATGAGAGGAGGGGTTGAGGAGAGGGGGCGGGGGCCGGGGGTGTCCACCTCGTCCATCCGTCCACGACCACTCACCGCTCTTCTGAGTCGCGTTGTGCTCACAGTGGTGCCTTCTGTCTTCCACTCAGTCTTTTTCAACATACACGTGTATGTGTGATTCTTGGGTTATTTAATAACAACCAATCACTAAGTGCTGCTAAGAACAACATGTCTGAGCAGCAATGAGAGAAGCTGACAGCGCTTCAGGGCCTTGGACTGGGGACCCCCAGACTCTGCTTTCAGAACTGCTGAGGTAGAAAGTTCAACCAGATGTTTTCAAGCAGGCGGAGGATGTATCTTAACAGTTACTGACACAGACGTTTCAGAGTTCGGAAGACTGTGCAGCAGACACCGTCCCAGGCACCAGGGGTCCTTTTGTGCCAGGTGACTGGCCTGTCACTTAAAGTCCACCCGGCAGAGCTCGGCGATGCTAGTCTGTCAAAGTGGGGCATGCGTCCCAGCACATGTCAGCCCCAGAAGGAACCCACACCCACCAGCACACTCCACACATCCTCCCCGCCTACTCCCACGGCCCTGCTGCCGTCTCTGTGGACCCGTCATGTGAAGGGAGCCCACGAGCCTCACGCACACGGTTGTGTCCGGCTGCGTCCTTTCACGGCGAGTCCACTCTGCGGTGTGCCCGTCTGAGGACGTGCGGGGGGTCCCCTCCTTGGCTGTGACGGTGCTGCTGCCCGGAGCACGCGTGTGCATGGTCGTGTGGGTACGTGCTGCAGTCCTGAGAAGGACGGTGAGTCCCTGGTCAGTGTGCGGATGTTTCCGCAGCAGCGAAGGCGCCACGTCTCTGCCCTCCTAGCGCCGCTGTCCATCTGGCCGTGGTTCTGACTTGTGCTTTCCTGTCGGCTCATGATGTTGAGCCTCTTTCCCTGTGAGTCTTCACATAATTTGGAAAACATTCCTGAGAGAAATCTCAGTGGCCCCTGCGAGGGTGACCCGAGTGTGTGCAGGTGCCGCGATGCGGGCCGGGCCGGCTCACTGTGGTGCTGAGCACTGAGGCTCTCCCGTCCTCCCCTGTTCCCTCGGCGCAGGAGCTGGAGAAGTGTGACGCCAACCACTACATCATCCTGTTCCGGGACGCCGGCTGCCAGTTCCGGGCCCTGTACTGCTACTACCCCGACACCGAGGAGATCTGCAAGCTCACCGGCACCGGGCCCAAGGCCATCACCAAGAAGATGGTCGACAAGCTGTACAAGTACAGTTCGGACCGGAAGCAGTTCAGCCTGATCCCCGCCAAGACCATGTCGGTCAGCGTGGACGCGCTCACCATCCACAGCCACCTGTGGCAGCCCAAGCGGCCCGCGGTGCCCAAGAAGACTCCGACGCGCAAGTGAGCTCGGCGGCCAGGGCGCCCAGGCCCGTGTCTGTTTCCATCCTTTTGGGTACGGAGTGTGCAGAGTCACAGACCTTTTTTCGAGAGACTTCTGGACAACAGAGGACAACCTTCCCTTACTCCCCGTGCACAGGATGCCAGGTGGAGCAGGGACGGAGGGATGGATGCCGGGGCCTGGCCACGCTCCTGTGGCCTCACTTCCCCGAGGCTGCCGGCGAGGGGTGTGTGTGTGACAGGATTCCTTTTACTTGAAATTCTTCAGTGTAAATTAGAAGTGATTGACGTTGCGTTCTGGCCTCTCGCCTCACCCCCTTTGCACATGGGCGGGCCCCTCGTGTGGGCCTGTGGCCTGTGAGGTGGGAGGACAGGGACGGCCTCCGGTCAGGGTGTGTGAGTGTCTTCAGGAAGGGACTCGTCGGGGGGCTGTGTTTATTCGGGAAGTCGTATGCTATTTATTGATTGTGTCTACTGCCAACGTTTATATCCAACTCTGAGATTTCTGAAAACAGTTCTTGTCCCGTGCTGCTCAGAAAACGTTTACTGACGACACCGTTCCCTGAGAGCACCGAGGTGCAGAGCCCGCTGCGGCGGTGCGAACGGACACGGAGCCGCTTGCCTGGCTGGTCTGCACTCAGCAGCCCTCACGGAGCTTGGTGGTCTGATGATCTGTTCACTAATAAAGAGACTCTGGTGAAGCAGATGCTCCACTCAGCTGCGTCTCTGCAGAGGTGACGGCATTGAGCTGGAGCTCCCTCACGTTTCTGTTGTCGAGTCGTCGCTGTGGCTCCTGCTCCGGCAGAGTGGGCTGGAGGGGGCGGTCCTTGGCCCACAGGGTCATGTTTGCCACTCACAACCTGCAAGGGGTCCTGTGTGGTTTTCTTGGAGCCCCAAGCAGGGGTGGCTCTGGCACTCCTGGGCTGCGGCCGAGGCCCTCTGAGCCACATTCCCTGGGCGCCGCCGTCACCCTTCACCTAGCACCTCTGCCACCCGCTCCGGCTGCTGGGAGACGCCGGAGTCTCGTGTTAGCTTTGCACACGCGTTCTCTGCAGTGTTACTTGAATCTGTCTCGAACTGCAGAACTAAATGGAAGGTTGGAGATGACGTCAGATGGTGTGACTGTCCCGTACTTCTGGGTGGAGGGGGTGGGGAGAGACGGTACACAGACCCTGGGAGAGAGGTAGTGCCCCGGCTCCGGCTCCGAGGGGCCCTGGGCGCAGCTGTGTGCAGTCGGCTGGCAGCTGCGCCCTGGGGGGGTGGGCGTCCCGTGAACCCTGTTCCGTGCTCTGCACAGGTGTGCTTTTTCTCACTGTCTGTTTGATATTCTATGATATTTATTTTAAGAAAGCACTAAACTGTAATAAAGTAATTAATTTGCTTTTTATTAAGCACGTGTGTGTGAGGTGGTCCTGGTTCATTTCCTTGCTGTGTTCCTGCTCTTGTAGAGGGGATTCCCGCTGTTGCTAGTGACCAGATGGCCATTTCGCTGGGAAGTCACCGTCTCCTGGAGCCCCAGCCTTCTCCGGGGGGTGGGGGAGCCGTGTCTCCGTTCTCTGTGCCTGTCCTGTCCAAGTGGGCTCTGGCTGTTTCCAGTGAGGGTTTGGGGCACTTCGGGTGCGGTGCTGGGAATGCACATTCCCGCCCAGGTCCTCTGGGCTTCTCCTGACGGGCGGTCGACATGCAGAGCGTCCCCAGGGCTGCTTGTTAGCAGGTGACAGTCTCCATCCACAGGCATGCGCACGCGGCCACTCCCTGTCCAGACTGGCACTCGCGAGCTGGGGGTGTGGCCCGGTGGGCGCGGAGGCCAGGGCAGCCTTCCCTGTTCCTGTGGAAACTGTCCCCGCCCCTCCGAATCCTGCAGCTCACGGCAGGCTGCTCGTCTGCCCAGGTGGACGGACTTGGTGACGAGTGTCGCTGGGAGGTGGACGGCACAGCAGCACGTGGAGGGCAGGTGCCGGGAGGCGGTGAACTTCCGTGAGCGAGTCCTGTTGTCTCCTGGTGCCTGTGCACATACCCGTCCCACACACGTGTGTGCACGCATGTGCACAGACATGAATGTGTGCGCTGCCGCAGAGCAGTCTGGTCAGGCCTTCGGGCCCGAGGTGCGTCCTTCACAAGATCAGGAAGGACAATGGTTTTCAAGTCACTTTAAGGTCAGACTTTTATTCTTTGAAAGTAGTTACTGGGGGAAAATTTTGCCCTGAAGTAACGTTTCCAGGGAGCGTGAACCTGGACCCCTCATACCTGACACGTCCATTTGTGCAGCGGGGTGTGACTTGGGCGGCCCCTGCGTGTCAGCCTGGCCATGCCAGGCACCGGCTGTCATCACCGCTGCCGGCCAAGTCTGCCAGCGCCACCTGGGAAGCAGGGCTCAGGGTTGCATCTCACACCAGGGCTTAGGGGTCCAGGGGGTGCCCACTGAGTTCGGGGTACCACCTGGGCTGCGCCCTGGGTCTGCTGCACGGCTGCTGCTCAGTCCCCACGTCTGAAGCCGAGCTGTGCGGTGGGTCTCAGGGCAGAGCTTGCACTGAGGAGACCCTTGGCTCCCTGGCCCCCTCTCCTCTCCCTGTCTCTCTCCCCTCAATAAAACCGGGTGCCCATAAAACAATGTTCAGGCTGGAGCAGGCAGGTCGGGAACTAACAAACTGTTTTCATCTGGTGACTGATGTCCTGAACTGGAGACCAAGGGGCCTTCGCTCAGGACGAAGCTGCCTCTCGGGGGCTCCTGGGTCAGGGCGCAGCCCCTCGGGGCTCCTGGGCCAGGGCGCAGCCTCTCGGGAGCTCCTGGGTCAGGGCGCAGCCCCTCGGGGCTCCTGGGTCAGGGTGCAGCCCCTCGGGGCTCCTGGGCCAGGGCGCAGCCTCTCAGGAGCTCCTGGGTCAGGGCGCAGCCCCTCGGGGCTCCTGGGCCAGGGCGCAGCTTCCAGCGTGGGTGCCGAGACATGCTGCTGGGTGTGCCCATGTTCCCTCAGGCCGCGTGGCCTCAGCCTCGCTCCCTGGGCATCTCCCAGGGCGAGGAAGGCACCCCCACACCTGGGCAATGCCGCCCAGCCCAGCGGGCCTCTTGGGCCTCGGTGATGTCCTGGGTGGGGGCTAGGACACACTCCGCAGCAGGGCCACGGGCCTCGGGGTGTGGGGCCTGCTGTGTCTGCGGCTCGGGAGGCCGCGCCAGCCTTGCCCTTCAGGTGGGTGCCTGGGTGTGGGCCAGTGCAGACCTCATAGTGTCCTTCCCAGCTCAAGGCCCGGCGGAAGAGGCCAGCAACACCGGGCACACACGGAACACGGCAGGCTGGCCGGGCCCACGGGTAGACAGGCTCAGGCCAGAGGTCCAGCGGGGATGTTCCTGAGTGCCCCGAGCTCCTGGGGCCTTCCAGAATGAAGGTGGCTCTGGGGGCCCGGATGCCCAGAGGTGCTCCTCCAGCCCGCCCTCGGAGGCCCCAGCAGTGGACTGCGGTACTCGGCGTGGCCACGGGCATAAGTGGCGTGGTCCCTGCTCCCCAGTGCTGTGCGTGGCCCTGCCTTCCTGTGTCTATAACTCAGTTGCATTTATTTTTGAGATTTTGGGGTGCTTGCGGTTTACATTCAGTCTCACCCACGTGGATGGCACTTTGTGGGCCTGTGGGCACCGTGTCCCTGAGCCTGGGGGCCACGTGGACACTGGGTCGTCCCTTTCCGGGGAGGGCAAGCCGCCCAGCACAGTGCTGGTCTGCTTTGGGCAGACGGCTCGGACGTCAGGGATGAAGGAAGCAGAGGCTCCCTGCCTGTGCTGAGAACACCCTCTCCGGGCGCCGGCAGGGCCTGGTGCTCACTGCCCCCGAGGTGGGGCATCTCGTTCCCCCACAGCATGTGGTGTGAGGGTCCGTCTGTGCCTGCTGGCAGGGACCCGCTCCCCACTGCCCCAGCCCGTTGCTGCACTCAGAGGCAGGTGTCTTCTTGGTGTGGGGTTTGAGGGCTGCGGCACCACGTGGAGCCCCATCCAGTGACCAGGCAGGGCCTGGTGCTCACTGCCCCCGAGGTGGGGCGTCTCGTTCCCCCACAGCATGCGGTGTGAGGGTGCCGTCTGTGCCTGCTGGAGGGGACCCGCACCCCACTGCCCCAACCCGTCGCTGCACTCAGAGGCAGGTGACTTCCCAGGACGGCTTCTTGGTGTGGGGTTTGAGGGGCTGCAGCACCATGTGGAGCCCCATCCAGTGACCAGGCAGGGCCCCCCCACAGGTGTCCCCTTCCCTCAGGGAGCTGGGGCAAGGGTGTCAGAACAGGTTGGGGACCCTGCTGGGTGATGGCACCAAAGGGGACCCTGGGAGCACTGACCCCCGCTGGGCCGGGCTGGCCCTGGTCTACAGCCATCGCTCCACTGAGGGCTGGGGTTTCCCCACTCGACCACCAGCCCCTCCCGACCCATCCCCAGCACTACCCCAAGGGCCTGCGGACCAGGCTGCCCCAGGAAGGAGGGGTCAGCCTCCTTGGCCCGTCCCTCCCCACCACTGTGTAGTCCCCGCCCCAGCCTGCGCCGTGCAGTGTGTTCCCGTGGCAGTGTGGGGCCCTCTGAGCGAGGCTCTGGCGCTAGGGCTGCTGGGTACACACGCCCCCAGGCGGCCCTGCCCGCTGGCCCCCCAGCCACCGGGCTTGGGCACAAGGGCTCACCAGGGACCCCTCCCAGCCATGCTCCCCAGCGGCTGGGACCTGGTGGCCTTCTCCAGGGGGCCCAGGCCAGCAGCACTTCCTGGGGACGCTCCCTCTGGGGCCCTGGGTGGGGTGGGGAATCTCAGGTGCTTCTAACTCCTGAAGTGGGGGCTGGGAGGGGAGACCCAGGCTTGGAGCACGAAGCCGGCCTGTTTGCAGAGAATGCCCCTTTAATGGGAGGTGCCAGCACGCCCGGCAGACCTGTCCCAGGGAGCCCCAGCGGTGCCTGGTGGACGGCCGCCCCGAGCCCCTCCGTCCAGGGAGAACTTCTGGTTCCAGCAGCCTGGGCTGGGTTGTGCTTCATCTCGGGTGTGAAGGGAGCCCTGTCCTCTGCCTGCTGCCCAGCGCTGCGGCCGGAGTTCAGTGTGAGATACAGGAGACAGCCTTCCCACTCACCCCGAGTCATGGCTGCGGGAGCCCCGTGTCCTGGGCCCCCCTTCCCTCATGCACCCACAGTCCACTGGCCCTGGGGCTCCAGGCCAAGCCGCATGGCCTCCTGTGCTCTCCGTTTTCTTGTGGCTGGGACTCGGGCTTGCCTGCGGCAGGGTGCTGGGTGCCCACTGCCACAGTCTGGCCGCGAGCCAGACCCTGCCATTCCTGTGCCCAAGACCAGCTGGGACCACAGAGCAGAGAGCATGAAGGGGGACCTGGTGTGGCCGCGAGCTGTCTGCAGGAGCGGCGCCCAGCCCCGCCGGCACAGGTGCAGTGCGTCTGTGTGGACAGGCATTGCAGATTCGTCAGCAGGTTAAAAAAGTCCTCCTGCCTGCAGTCTGCCCCTCGCCCTCCTGAGGTCTCCCTTGCGGGCCGGCGGGCGGTCGGGCAGCCAGAACGTTGGCCAGGTCCCTGCGCACTCATGCGTGGCGCCCTCGGGCTGGCTCAGAGCTGCGTCTCCTCGCGCGTCTCCGGGTTGCAGGAGGCCAGCTTGTTCCTGCGGCCGCTCTCGGGGCTGCTGGCCACATGTGCCAGGGGGTCGCAGCGGATGAGATACCTGCGGGCGGGGCAGGGAGCCCGGTGTCAGCGCCGCAGCCGCGCAGAGCGGCATGTGCAGTGCCCACGGCAGGGGTGCGGGGTGGGTGTCCACGTGCTCAGGGCGTGCCACTTACACGATGTCGCTGGGCTCCAGCCTCGTGTCGGGCGGGGGGTTGATGAGGACGTAGGAAAGGGTGTTCTGGTGGTCATTCATCTCGTCTGCAAAGGAGACAGGGCCCCAGCCGCGGTCACCACTCAGCCCTGGCCCAGCTCTGCTCTGCCCAGCCCAGAGAAGCCGCGGGCATCCTGCCTGAGCCCCTAAACCCGGCACCTCAGCCAGGGCTGCTCCTTCCTGATGGACGCCTGCCCCTGGCCCTCAGCCACGAGGAGCAGTGGGCACCGGCTCCAACCCACCCTGCAGGCAGCTGGCTCAGCACGAGCAGCCAAGGTCTCACAGCTCTGGCAGCCGAGCCGAGGCATTGAGCACACCTGCACACACCTGTGCACACACATGCCCGCACATATGCCCACACATGCCCGCACATATGCCCACACCTGGACACATGACACACACACCTGTGCACACATATGCCCACACCTGGACACATGCCACACACACACCTGTGCACACATATGCCCACACCTGGACACATGACACACACACCTGTGCACACATATGCCCACACCTGGACACATGACACACACACACACCTGTGCACACATATGCCCACACCTGGACACATGACACACACACACGTGCACACATATGCCCACACCTGGACACATGACACACACACACAAAACTGCACACACCTGTGCACACATATGCCCACACCTGGACACATGACACACACACATACACACCTGCACACACATATGCCCACGCCTGGACACATGACACACACACACACACACACCTGCGTGCACATATGCCCACACCTGGACACATGACACACACACACACACACCTGTGCGCACATGTGCTCCCACCTGGACACATGCCACACACACCTGCACCTCTACACACCTGTGCACACTACCCCAGCCCTCAGGCTTGTCCCTGCGTCCCTGGCCCGGGCAGCCCAGCCCCGCTCTGCTCCTCCTGCTTTGAACTCCTGTCCTGTTCCCCAACCTGCTCCTGGGACTGTCAGCCCAGAGGGACCCCTGTGGCACATGCAGGCTGTGAAGGGGGCAGCCTGGCACCCAGCAGCCAGGGTGGCTGTGGAATGCTATCGCAGGGGTGAGAACGGGTTCTGGGAAAACACGTCATCTCACAGGTGTCTCCAGCCAAACCCAGGGAGGGGTCGGCCACCATCCTGGCTGTGGCCCAAGACCTCAGGAGGGAGCGAGGGTGTGTGGCCTGTTTGCCCAACTGGTGGTGTCTAAGGGCACCTCCAGACCCAGAACAGCCGCCAGGGGATGGCCCTCCAGAGGGGCCCCGCCCTGGTGGCTTTTGCCCTGGGCTCCTCCTGGAGGGGTGTGCAGGCCGGGCTGCAGCCCCAGGGGCAGTCGGGGCACAGGCACGGACCCCAGGGCTGATGGACGTGCACAGACTCCTGGGCAGTCACCCGGTGCTGGCCTCCACGTCCTCTGCCCAACTGCCACCTGCTCTCTTCCCAAAGCCCCTGGCTGGGCCCTTCGCGGGAGCTGCTGGCTGCCCAGCGGGCGGCCATGCTGGAGGCTCTGCAAGGGCCCCACCCGGCCCGAGCGCCCAGATGCGCTTCAGAGTGAACTGCCTGGAGCGGGCAGCCGTGGTGATGCGGGCAGGGACCCGCGTCCAGGACCACAGCCGTCAGCAGCTGATGCTGACACATCAGGACAGCGAGAATGGAGAGGCTGGGGTCCCTCCTGGTGGGCCTCCCCGGGCCTCCCGCCCTGAGCCCTGCTCTCCCTTGGGTGGGTGGGCCGCAGTGTTCGGAATCTGGAAGACTGGGCCAGGCCAGGCTGGCTGTTTGTGGGGGCACACGGCGCAGCCTCAATGCCCGGGTGTGCTGTGGTCGGTCATGAGGCTCTGCCTGTGATCCCCCAGGAAGGGCCAGCTTCACCACCCCTGGTGTGCTCGGGTCAGAGCCTGGGTGGGGTCAGGGCTGGCAACACCTCGCCTGGCAAATGACCAAGGGTGGTACCACCTCACCCCTGCCCCATGCCCAAACCCCACACTGCATTCCAGGCTTCCACGGGGGACTCTGGCCCTGGGCATCCACACTCTCCTCGTGTATCTCCCCAGATTCCTCCTCTACAAGTTGAGTAACTGGAGCCTTTCTCCAAGGGGGATTGTCAGGAAGGGGTCGGGACTGGGGGTGCAGCAGGGGGCTCCGCAGGGAGAGGGCTCCTATGACACCCTCTTTGACGGGAACCTCCCTGCAGCCCTAGCTAATAGGGTCATCCACTACTTGTGCCTCTTCCCCTCCGGTTTACACCCTGGCTCAGGCACTTCTCCATGTCCGCACACGGGCGCCCAGTAACCACCACCCAGTGAGTCCCGGTGACCTGCAGGGTGCCACCCGCACTGGGAGCCTCAGCAGGAAGCGGGGGGGGAGGGGAGCACAGCCACCGTTCATGGAGGCCCCAGGTGCCCACCAGGGCCGGCTCTGAGGGTCCTCCAGTAACGCCGTCACGGTGCACGAGCAAAAGCTTGAGACCCAGGAGGTGCCCATGCCAACCCCTGGCAGCCCCTGGACACAGGGTCCATTCCCGGGCCTGGGTCTGCCCACAGCTCCCCTGAGCCCATGCCTCCCCGGGCCCAGGAGGTGCCCATGCCAACCCCTGGCAGCCCTGGACACAGGGTCCATTCCTGGGCCTGGGTCTGCCCACAGCTCCCCTGAGCCCATGCCTCCCCGGGCCCGGGAGGCCTGCCAGCTCTTGGCCACCCCTGGATGGAGCGGCCACTCCAGGGGCCTGAGGTCTTCTGAGCTGTGAGCAGTCCCCGGGAAGGAAGGGGTCTCGGTAGAGAGGCCTGCGGCCTGGACTCTGCAGAGTTGGGGTAGGTCAGCCATCCGCCTGGCTTGGGCAGCCACAGTCTCAGGGCAGAGCAGACCCAACCCCCAGGCCGCACAGGCTCCACCACGAGGGCGAGGGGCCCTGGCTTGGCTTGGGGCCATCCATCGGATGTTTCCCGAGGGGACCTGGGGCTCGGGGGTCCTCTGGGGCTCAGGGGCAGCTGCAGGCCGGGTGGCCCGCCCGGGCAGTCAGGACGGACCTGACCAGGGCTGATCCCAGACGGCGAGGAGGAAAGGGAGGCCCTGCAGCCACAGGGACTGCTGTCCGCTACCCTCCGGGCCAGCTGCGGGAGGAGGTTGTGAGATCCCTGCAGTGGTCTGGAAGCACCGAGGCCCTGTCTGCAGGGCCCTCTGGTGTCCTGCCTGCCTGCCTGGCCGGGATGGGGCAGGCGCCAGTGCCGGTCGGTGGAGGGTGGGCATGCCCCATTAGGCGGTGGCCAAGCCCGCCGGAGCAAATTACCTTGCAAATATCCCAGGTTTACCCGATTCATGACATCACTGGCTGTTAAATTTGCTACATCCTCTACGGAACACACAGGAAGAGGGACAGACAGAAACAGAGAGAGAGAGAGAGGTCAGCAAGCAGCGTGTGGGTGCAGCGGGGCAGGGCAGCCAGCTCAGCGGGCGGCCGTCCAGCGGCCACAGCGGGGACCAGCGCCAGTGCCTGCCACCTGGAAGCAAGTGGGAACTGAGCGGAAGTGGGTTCCTCTGCCAGCTCTGGGGGGCAAGGGGAATGCGAGGGGCTGCCAGCCTGGGGGTCAGCAGGCTGGGATCCCTCCCCCCCGACCTCTGAGTCCCCACGGCTCAGGGCTGCGTGGACAGTGGACAGCCCTGATGAGCCGAGTCAGCTGATCCCACTTGGAAGAGGGCTCAGGGCCCGAACCCGGAGACAGACAGCAGGAAGCAGGGTGGGGGTGCAGGCCAGGCCGGGCTGGAGCGAAGGCAGAGGTCTCAGTGGAACCCCACGGAGGCGGACTCCCCCCAGCCCAGACCGTGGCCGTGGCTGGGCAGTGGCGGGAGCTTGGGCCCCTTCGCCCCATCACCAGCACCGCAGGGGTGGGACTGAGCTGCTCTCCCCGAGCCGGCTGGCCACCTAGGCCTGTTCTCGGAAAAACCCGTAAACTAACCCCAAAACAAGCTGGAGAGAGAGAAGGTGGTTGTGCCATGGGACAGGGGGTCCCACGAGGCCAACGGTGGGGTGTCCTGGTGTCATTCGCTCAGCTGCCTGACACGCCCGCAGTCTGGCTGATGGGGGCTGGGGAGGGTGGTCTGGGGGCTCTCCACAGAACAGGGGCCCTGCGTTCCTGATGGCCTGCAGGTGTGGCCAACCTGTCCCCAAGCCACACCTGTGCCCAGCCTGGCCCTACCCATCCCACAGTGCCCCCTTCCTGCCACTTCGGCCTCTTTCTTACAGATGGGGAAACTGAGGCCCCAGAGCGGTGGGGTGAACCCTCCCTTTTGGGAGGTCCTGAGCCCTCCCCACAGCAGAGGGCTCGGACCAGCCTTGGGGGGTGCTTGGAGCTGGCCCTGCAGGCAGACGGACAGACAGACGGGCAGATGAGAGGCTGTGGACCACAAAGGCCCAGGCATTGAGATCCCATCCGAGCGGCCTGAGGCGGGCAATGCCGCGGTCCTCACCGTAGCCGGTGGTGGGCAGCCCCAGGTGTTTCATGCGGTTCTTGACCAGCTCGGACAGTTCCTGCCGCTCAGAGCGCCGGCACAGGCTGAGCTGCTGCTGGCTGGTGCGCTCGGCTGCCCTCCCGGCATGTTTGGGGCTCTTGCGGCTCAGCCTCCGGGCCCACTGCAGGCTCTTGCGCCGCAGCAGCGGGTGTTCTGCCGGGTCGCTGCTGCCCACATGCTGGCCGTGGGTGCTGCCGCCACCGGTCCCCACCCTCACGCCCCAGGGTCCCTTCACTTCCCGTGTGTCCTCGCAGTCCTCCATGGTCACCGAAACCTGGGACTGGCCAAGGCAAGTGGTGGTGAGGGCTGGAGGGTGCAGGCTGGGTAGGGGGCCCAGGGCTGGAGGGCAAGGGGCGGTGAGGGGGCACAGGGCCGAGGACACGGGCCGGGGAGGGGGTACAGCTGGGAAGCAGGCTGGTTGATGGGAGGAGGACAGTCCCAGCCTCCTGTGGGGGCCCCCAGGGCCCAGGGACACAAGCACCTTCCTTCTCCATCTGGGGTGCTAGGCCACGCCTCCCTCCTGAGCCCCACAAGCCCTGGCTCCGGGCCTGTCTGTGAGCTGCGGGGGGACGATTCTGCCATGGAGAGTCACCTCTCTGTGCCTCAGTTTCCCCATTTTGTGGGCAGGAGAAACCAGAGCACAGTGGCCCGGGAAGCACCAGAGCCTCTGCATGGCTCGGGGGGTATGTGGGTCTCAGGGGTGACGGGAGGACCCTGATGCAGACAGTGCCTTAAGAGGCAGGGCCTGGGGACAGGGAGGTCGGACCAGACCAGCCAGGAGGCAGGTGCCCGCCGCCACGGACCACAGCAGGACAGGCAAGTACACATGAGACTGGGGAGCCTGGTCTCCCCCAGCCTCAGTTTCCCCATCTGTACGGGAGGGGGATGCCATGAGCCCTCTCCGAGCTGCTCAGTAACCGACACATCCCAGGACCAGCTCCCTGACGCTGCGTCCAGGGCCCTGCGCCCCTCCCAGGCCGGGCATGTCTGGGCTCAGGCAGGCTCCGCAGACACCAGGACCCTCAGTGTCGGGCTGGAGGGGCTGCTCACCTGGGATCTGAGGTCTTGGGGCTGCGAAGGAAACCAGGGCAGCCTGGGTGCCTGGGGTGTTTCTGCCCTCGCCCAGGTCTGCCTGAGCCCTCAGGGCATCAGCAGGGCAGGCTGCCCCTGCCCTTCCTGGGAGGCACAGGGGCCACCTGCTACCGGAGCCCCGCCCGCTCCCCGGCCCCGCCCACCCCCTGAGCCCCGCCCACTCCCCGGCACCGCCCACTCCCCGGCACCGCCCACTCCCCACCCCCGCCCGCCCCTGAGCCTCGCCCACTCCCGGCCCGGCCCACTCCCAGGCCCCGCCCACGCCCCGCCCCTGAGCCCCGCTCCCGGCCCCGCCCGCTCCCCGGCCCCGCCCACCCCCTGAGCCCCACCCGCTCCCTGAGCCCCGCCCACTCCCCGGCACTGCCCACTCCCCGGCCCCGCCCACTCCCCACCCCCGCCCGCCCCTGAGCCTCGCCCACTCCCGGCCCGGCCCACTCCCAGGCCCCGCCCACGCACCGCCCCTGAGCCCCGCCCACTCCGGCCCCGCCCGCCCCTGAGCCTCGCCCACTCCCAGGCCCCGCCCACACCCCGCCCCCGAGCCCCGCCCGCTCCCCGAGCCCCGCCCGCTCCCCGCCCACCGCGAACCTCCGAAGTGAAGACGTGGCTCTGGGTCCGGTAGATGCCGATGGGGATCTCGGAGCTGGAGGAGCACAGCTTCTGGAAGAGGCGGCCGTAGGTGCCGATCCACAGATCGTCCTCCGCGATCTTCATCTGGAACGCGGGTGCCCTGAGTGGGGCTGGCGAGGGTCCCCCGCCCCGGCCCCGCCTCGTCACTCTCGGCGCAGAGGGCCCCCCACCCCGAACGGCCCCCCGCCCTGCCCCGCCCCGCCACTCACGGCGCAGAGGGCCCCCCACCCCGAACGGCCCCCCGCCCCGCCCCGCCACTCACGGCGCAGAGGTAGCCGGAGCCGGGGGTGGTGTCCAGACCCAGCAGCAGCCTGGTGATGGAGATCATGTAGTCCTTCACGAAGGACTGGCCGGGAGGGAGGCCACAGTGAGGCCCGGGCACCGCGTCCGATCTGCACTCACACCAGGGGCCCCCTCGCCCCCAGACCTGCCCCCAGGCACCCACAGCCTCGTGCCTGTGCACCGGACCCCTGCTTGCCCATCCCCAGCACCACTCAATCGCAGACGGCGCTGGGAGACCTTCCCTGGCCACAGTCATTAGGTCACTGGGTCAGTTAGGTCAGAAGGACCTGAACAGCCTCTTCCGTGAGGACTGAGGACATTTAGAGGTGAGTCCCTGCTCGCCCGGGCGGGGACGGGGCCCGGGGCCACGCAGGGCTGCTTGGCTTCCCCAGGACCCACGGAGGGGTGCTCCGAGCAGGCCCATCACTAAGAACTGGGACCGGTGTGGGGCAGAGATGGAGAGGATGGCTGGGGCCCGGGGGCACCTAGGGCCCGCCCTGCCGCCCCTCCCCCGCTGACCTGATACAGCAACGTGTCCAACATGCTGATGCTGAAGACCCGGCCGGCGGCAAAGGGCAGGCGGAACATGAAGGCCAGATTGGAACCGTTCTCCCGCTCCCTCTGTGGAAAGGGGGGTCAGCAGGCTGGCGCCCACGGCCAAGGGCACATGCATGTGCAGCACGTGTGGAGCATGTGCACATGTGTGCGTGGTGGGTGGCACGCACTCGTGTGTGAATACACGCATTAGCAGAGAGCTCAGCACAGGCCTGAGCACCCAGCTACGTGTCCCCACCAGTCACACAGGCCCCACGCTGCTGTGACCACCGTGTTCTCAGTGGTCTCAGCGGTTTGTCCTGAACGTGTTTCATGAGTGGAGACCGGTAGAGACACGTGTGAGCAGAGACCAGCAAACCGCGTGTGGCCAGGCGCTCGGCTCCGTGAGCACAGCATCCGTGGACACACGTGCCAGTATCCTGCAGCTGCTGGAACGAATCACCAAGACTCAGCATCAACTTGCTCTCTCGCAGGCCGGCACCCAGAATAGACTTCCCGGGTGGAATCAATGTGGTCCTTGGGGCTCCAGCGGAGAACCCCTTCCTCCGCCCCTCCCCCTGCCTGGAAGCCAACCTTGTCCTTGGCTCCGGCCCTGCCTGCATCCTCATGCCTGACTCCCGCCTCCCTCCCCCGGGACCCCGTGCTGACCCCGGGCAAACCCCTTGGCCGTGCGCCACATCCTGTACAGGTTCTGGGGAACCGGACATCGCTAGGGACGTCACCCCCACCGAATGAGGCACGCCCATGACTGAGGAGTGGGCTGTGATGGTCCCAGCGGCCACACCTCTCGCTGGGACCGAGACGCTTCAGACACGAAGAAGCTGGAGAAGACGCTGAGGAGCCCCCGAGGCCCTTCTCATCCGGCAGTGACAAGGTCCCTCGCGGGAATGACACCCAAGGGCACCTGGCAGAGGCCCCTTTCCTTCCAGGCCCTGTCCTCGGAGGGAGTGGTATGGGGGGTGAACGGACAGAGTGGGTTTGGGAGGCGCGACACTGGTCCTGCTGGTGAGATGGGTGTGACCGCGGAGCAGGGACCACGCGACCACACGATTCAGCGAAATTCACACAGCGCACGAGGGTGAAATCTTGTGTTTTCTTTGCTCGGAACAAGGCCCGGCTGTGATGGGCCTGGGGGGCAGGGCAGGGGGCCGAGGCAGGACTGTCTGCCTTGTGGGCCTGGGGCGCCTGCCCGGCTTCTGTTCACCCCAGTGGCAGCGGCAAAGCTCCGGCCCTGAGGATGCTCAGGTCTTGGCTGAGCAGGACACACTTCAGTTGTCCATCTAGGTTTGGGGGGAGGACGCTCCAGGGCTGGTCCTTCTGTCTGCTGTTGATGCGCAGGCCCGGCGTGGGTCCGCCACGCAGGTGGGAGGGCACGCACTCCCTGAGGCCTGAGCCCAGCTGGGAGCTCCCTCCACGGTGGCCGCTCCCTGGTCTCACCGGGGGCAACCGTGCTGCCCCCACCTTAACACACAGCCCGGACCCTCACCATGGGCGGTGGTGCTGCCACTGGCCTGAGCAGTGGCCTGGGAGGGGCCGGGCTCAGCAAAGGTACCAGGGTGACCCCTCCGGAGCTGGGGCTCCACACTGGACCCGGCTGACGCCTTCACGAAGCCCTGAGGAGCAGGAAGCTGACCCCGGCTCTGCACGGCCCTGGGGTGTGATCTAAGGCAAGTCCCTCCCTCTGACCTGTCCCTGGTCTCCACTGCCCAGATGACCACACGGCCCTGCCAGGATGACAGGATGAGCACGTGTCAGGTTCTGGGGCCGTGGCTGGGCAGAGGAGATGGGCTCAGTGTCGCCTGTGTGGGGTCACTGACAGGACAGGGCAGGCCTGCACCTGCCTAGGGGCGTGGTGTCTGCTCCCAGCCCTGGCCCCCGACTCGGGGCCACACAGAGCCTCACGGGGGAGCTGAGCCCATCTCTGGTCTCCGCAGCCCCGGCAGAGGGCAGGTGCCAGCCTCCTGTGGCCCCTTGGCCTCGTACCTACAGGCTCTGAACCTGGTGCGCAGCAGACGGGGTGGGGACTCACCTTCTCCAGTTTGGAAAGAGCGAGGGAGTAGCTGTCCTTGGCGCGGAACTGCATGAACCGCATGTTGGAAGGGTGGGTGAGCTCCGTGGTGATGCTGAGGCTGGGGAAGAGCCTGCAGGGCAAGGGCGGGGAGGGAGGACTCAGTCATGAGTGGGGCAGGGAGTATGGGGCCCTGGGGTAATGGGTGGGGCAGGGTGCAGGGGGCTCCCGGGGTCACGGGTGGGGGAGGGTGCAGGGGGATCCTGCTCATGGGTGGGGGAGGGTGCAGGGGGATCCTGGGGTCATGGGTGGGGGAGGGTGCAGGGGGATCCTGGGGTCACGGGTGGGGCAGAGTGCAGGGGGATCCTGGGGTCACGGGTGGGGGAGGGTGCAGGGGGATCCTGGGGTCACGGGTGGGGGAGGGTGCAGGGGGATCCTGGGGTCACGGGTGGGGCAGGGTGCAGGGGGATCCTGGGGTCACGGGTGGGGCAGGGTGCAGGGGGATCCTGGGGTCACGGATGGGGCAGGGTGCAGGGGGATCCTGGGGTCACGGGTGGGGGAGGGTGCAGGGGGATCCTGGGGTCATGGGTGGGGCAGGGGGCAGGGGCCCTGGGTCATGGGTGGGGCAGGGGGCAGGGTGCAGCGGCCCTGGGTCATGGGTGGGGCAGGGTGTAGGGGGATCCTGGTGTCATGGGTGGGGCAGGGGGCAGGGGCCCTGGGTCATGGGTGGGGCAGGGGGCAGGGTCCCTGGGTCATGGGTGGGGAGGGTGCAGGGGGTCCCGGGGTCATGGGTGGGTGAAGGAACTGAGGGGGTGTCCCATGGTTATGGGTGTGAGGAGGGGATCAGAGCAGGCTGTGGTCATGGGTTTTGGGAAGGAGGCAAGGCAGGGGTCACGAATGGGGGTGGGGGCTTAGGGATGTTCCAGGGTCACAGGTATATAGGGAGTTGGGGGGTCCTGGATGAGAGTGGGGGCTCAGAGTCCCAGGTGGGGGTGGGGGTTCAGGGATGTTCCAGGGCCACAGGTATGGGGGGTCCCGGGGCCACAGGTATGGGGGGGTCCCAGGGTCACAGGTGGAAGGATCCTGGGGTCACAGGTACGGGGGTCCCGGGGTCACAGGTACGGGGAATCCTGGGGTCACAGGTACGGGGTCCGGGGTCACAGGTAGGGGGGATCCTGGGGTCACAGGTCCGGGGGTCCCGGGGTCACAGGTAGGGGTTCCCAGGGTCACAGGTCCGGGGGTCCGGGGTCACAGGTAGGGGTTCCCGGGGTCACAGGTACGGGGTCCGGGGTCACAGGTACGGGGAATCCTGGGGTCACAGGTACGGGGTCCGGGGTCACAGGTAGGGGGGATCCTGGGGTCACAGTTATGGGGTTCCCGGGGTCACAGGTACGAGCCGTGGGCACCGCCGCACCGGAACATGGTCTGCACGTTGACGATGGTCTTGGCGTCCGCCATGTAGTCCTCCTCAGCGCTCATGGTGCTCTCCTTGTCCACCACCACCAGGTTGTCCGCGTAGATGATGCCGCACTGCAGCAGGCTGTCCAGGCTGGCGGGAGAGCCACGTGGCAGGGTGCGGGGAACCCCCGGTGCGCCGGCCCCCACCCTGCGCCCCCACCCGGGCGGGGTGAGCCTGCTGGCCGGGCCTCACTTGTCCACGGAGCCCTCCATGTAGTAGACCATGGGGAAGTAGCAGATGGCCTCCAGGAAGTGGTGGTCAGGCCTGCAGAGACAGCAGGTCCTGTGGGCGCCTGTCCTGCTCGGACCCCGCCGGGCCTGGGGGAGCAGGGCTGGACGGGGAGGGGGCCCAAGGGACTGGGGCCTGTCAGACCTGGGAGGTCTTTAGAGGCTAGTGGGCTGTCTTCGTGTCCTTCGGGGGAAACCGCGGCCCCAGGGTGGCAGGGGGACTTGTCCAGGCCAGACAGACAGGCTCTGGGCTGTCGGGGCTCTGGGGTGGTCTTGGGGCTAACAGTTCATGGGGGGCACAGGGACATGAGAAGCTATGAGGGAGGAAGGTGGACAAAGGGCGAGGGAGCCAGAGCCAGGGAACTGGCAGCACGGCTGCCGGTGAGGAGCAGCGGGGGTGGGGGACTACCGTTGGGGAGCAGCGGGGAGGGGTGCCGGTGGGGAGCAGTGGGGGGTGCTGGTGGGGAGCAGTGGGGGGTGCCGGTGGGGAGCAGTGGGGAGGGGTGCCGTTGGGGAGCAGGGGGGGGACTGCCGTTGGGGCTGCCGTTGGGGAGCAGCGGGGGGTGTGCCATTGGGGAGCAGGGGGGGCTGCCAGTGGGGAGCAGCGGGGGGGGGACTGCCGGTGGGGAGCAGCGGGGAGGGGTGCCGGTGGGGAGCAGCGGGGGGGGGTGCCGGTGGGGAGCAGCAGAGGGGGGGGGACTGCCGGTGGGGAGCAGCGGGGAGGGGTGCCGGTGGGGAGCAGGGCGGCTGCAGGTGGGGAGCCGGTGTGGGGGCCTCACTTGTTGTCCAGCAGCAGCACGATGGGGTTCAGCTCCTTGCGGGACCTGTAGTAGGCCCGCAGCGGCACGATGAAGTTGTAGAGCCCGTTCCCTGCCGTCTCCGCGGAGACGATGATCAGCTTGTTCTTGAAGCCGTAGGCCTTGGCGTCCTCGTAGCTGTTGTGCTTGCAGCCCTGCGGGGAGAGCCAGAGCCCCGGCTGACGCTGCCGGCTCCCAGGAGCCCCTGAGATGGAGCCCCAGACCCTGGTCATCAGCCCTTCGCCCACAGGAGCCTCACGCCCTGCAGACCCCCCTCCCCTGCAGCGGCTGCTCCAGGTCAGCAGGTGGGCCCATCACTCGGGAGGGGGAGAGTCTGTGTGGACACAAGGTCTCGGCAGATGTAGAAATGGACACATGTGTGGTATGTGCATGTCTTCCAGCTCAGGCCAGTGAGAGGCCCAGATGCAAGGACACCCCGAGGGCCCCTCTTGGTTTGTAACATCGTTTCCACGAGAAGGGGTCAGGCTCCTTGGAGGAGAAGCTGGTTCAGCACCGGAGCAGGACAAGTACGAGGTGGGGTGGGGCATCGTGGGTGGGACGTCACAGAGCTCGAAGGATGACAGCCCCTGTCGGGAGGACCCGGGCGCCACCCTGGTTTGGGCCCAGCGGCAGAACCAGGAAAGTCGGGGCATCGGCATCAATGCCGACTGAGATGACACTGCAACAGGAGCCAAGCAGTGGGGGTCACCCCGGATCAGGAGGAACCCCGCAGTCCACGCCGACACCCTCCGGGCTCTGCAATGTGGGACTAGTGGACCAGCGCCAGACGCGGACCCCACTCCTCCCCTCAGTGACCTGCGGGGAGGCCCTCAATGTCTGCGTTCCACGGTGGAGGGGCCACGGATGTCTCCAGGACATGCACCAGGCACCTCAGGCCCTCCAGCCCTAAAGCACAAGCTGTCTCCTCACAGGAAAACACCTGCAACCCCCCCTACACTGGTGCTGTGCAAACCGCCAGGACAGAGACCCAAGGGCAGGCGTGGGAAGGTCCAGACTGAGGAGACACAGCAGCTACAGGCAACTTGGTCAGGACAGCATCACCACTAAGGACAATAGGGCTTTGGGGACAGCAGCACGTTTGGAGAATGGCCCAGGGTCAGACACCTGTGCCCCAGCTTTGGCGAGTGAACCGTTATGAGAGGGACATCTGGGGAAAGGCCTCTCACAGGGAAACAGGCCCCCAGGGAGGACGGGAGAGCGATGAGTCCGGCCATGAGCCAGTGCGAAGGGTGGAGGACGCTGCTGCATCCCTGCCATCACGTCACAGTGCAGTCACCCGGAGCACGGCCGGGACCTGACCTACCTTGTCCAGCCGCAGGCAGCAGAAGGGGGCCTTCACGGGCAGAAGGTGGCACAGAGTGGGGGAGCTGCCAATGTAGGGAGAGTTGGGGGGGTAGCCCTTCACGTACCTGGGGTGGGACATGGGAGCCTCAGCAAGGCCCGCCCCACTTCCCTGGGCCAACAGCTCCACCCGCCCTCCCGCCTGGCAGCAGTGACCACACGGGGTGCCAGACCCCACGGACTGGACGACCCTGCCTGACAGCCTGATGGCCCCTCCCTGACGCCCCCAGCTCTGCCCTGCCCCCATCCCAGGCTGGTCTGTCCTCATACACTCCACCCAGCAGCAAAAGCCTGGAGCACAGGGCGCCCCGGCCAGGGCCCTGGGGAGGGGTGGGTGCTGAGGCTGGCAGAGGGCATGGCCCTGCTGCCAGGGCACCGCCTGTCTGTCCTGCCCAAGGCCAAGTGGACAGGACAGCAGGATGACCTGGCCTCCGCCTGGACGGCCACAGATGTCTCCAGGACATGCACCGGGCACCTCAGGGGCTCCCCATCTGTGCCCTCTGCAAACCGTGCTGAGGACAGCCACCCCAGAGGGCCGAGGTGTCTGGGTGTGGGGTCCTCAGGAGATTCCATCTGCCGAACAAGCCGCTCTTGGAGCTGTTTGGAAGCCATGACTCTGAGCCTGGGTGCAGCAGGACCGCCACCCATCGGGGCCCTGCCACCTGCGCCGCCCTGCCTCTTCCTGGGCACCCCACCCTTCCTGTCGAACGCTCTGACCCCACAGGCGACACCTACTCCATCACCGACAGCCCCTCGTCGTCCGAGGGCGTCATCTCGTCCTCCGACTGGTCACTCAGCAGGTCACAGGGCAACAGGGCTGAGCTGTCGGCCAGCTCCAGGACGGGCGCGATGCTAGGCCGCCGGCTGCCCGAGCCATTCTCCGTGGGCGGCGCCAGCTTGCTGCCCCCGCCGTCCTGTGCCAGCTGGCACTCTGTGTTCTGGAGGTCCATGGCCACTGTCCCTGCAGCAGAGCGGGGTCTGGCTGGCAACCCCCACCCCAGGCTCTGCAGGGGGCAGGGGTGTCCCTGGGAGGTGGGCGTACGTGTTCCGGAGACCCAGGGTCACGTCCAGCTGCACCACCCAAGGGGGTGGTCTGGCACCTGAACCTCAGTTTCTCCATCAGTGCAATGGGGCCAATGGCCCAGATGCAGGACAGGCAATGGGACATGGACACAGGTAAGACCCCACAGGCGGCAGGGGTGCCCCACTGGACAGACTGGCCCTCCGCCTGGGCTCACCCACGGAGGCGATGATGCTGTGCACCGGCAGGCGGGTGGAGCTCTGGCGGCGCCCTGGCCCCACGAGGCCCCGCCGCCGCGACTCCTCCTGCTTGAAGGTGAAGGCCGAGTTCTCCTCCTTGGTAATGTTGATGTAGAAGCAGGTGTCGGAGGCGGCCAGCGTGTGCCGCGGCCCCGGGTTCAGCAGGATGCTCTTGTTGTCCTCGCGCTTCAGCCCGATGAGGCACACGCCGTACCTGGGGAGGGCGTGCTGGACGGGGCCCACCCACTGCTGGCCTGGGGGCGTGGCTCGACGGGACCCACCCACTCCGGGCCTGGGGGCGTGGCTCAATGGGGTCCGCCCACTCCGGGCCTGGGGGCATGGCTCGATAGGATCCGCCCACTCGACTGGGGGCGTGGCTCGACGGGATCCACTCACTCTGGGCTGGGGGCGTGGCTCGACGGGGCCCACCCACTCCGGGCCTGGGGGCGTGGCTCAATGGGGTCCGCCCACTCCGGGCCTGGGGGCATGGCTCGATAGGATCCGCCCACTCGACTGGGGGCGTGGCTCGATGGGGCCCACCCACTCCGGGCCTGGGGGCGTGGCTCAATGGGGTCCGCCCACTCCGGGCCTGGGGGCATGGCTCGATAGGATCCGCCCACTAGACTGGGGGCGTGGCTCGACGGGGCCCACCCACTCTGGACTGGGGGCGTGGCTTGACGGGACCCACCCACTCCGGGCCTGGGGGCGTGGCTCAACGGGGTCCGCCCACTCCGGGCCTGGGGGCGTGGCTCGACGGGGCCCACCCAGGGCCTGACCAGCTCCTTGGGGGCCAGGGCTTGGGGTCCCTTGTGGATGAGGCCCTTGGCCAAAGCCTCATCTTGGACGCGGGGATCCCCACTTCGTGCTTGACCCAATGACCCGAGGTCAGACTGCGGAGGCCACGCAGTGGGGCGACCCGGCCAAACCCCCGCCCCCGCCCCGCGGCGCCTACTTCTTGTGCGCGTGGAAGGCGGCGTAGGTGAAGCTCTTGCCCTGGTACTCCCGGAAGAACTTGCTGTCGCCCATGCGCACGTGGTACACCTCGTTGCCCGAGCAGCGCCCGTAGGTGCGCTGCCACTGCTCCGGGGACTCCTGGCCTTCCCTGCGGGCGGCGCCGGTGAGCCCCGCTCGGCCTCTGGCCCGCTGGCCCTGCCCCTCCTTGTCTGCCTGAACCTCAGGGGTGGCCTCGGGGGTCGCTTGGCCAGTTTTTAAAAGTCGTGGACATGGTCTGAGTTTTAGGGGCACCAAAATGTTTCGCGGTCGAGGCTGGGCTCCATGGCCTGTGGGTCCTCCCAGGCCGGAGTCCTCCTCCCTGCCTGGTCCCTGCGCGAGGCTGCACCGGCCGCACAAGGAGCCCGACACCCGGTCAGGGGGACCCCAGCCTGGTCTCCCCAAAGAAAGGACAGCACCCAGCTCTGTTCCAGGTACTGTGAACCAAATGCAGCTTTTCGCCCCAAAACCGAGCCCCACTCCTGGGTGCGGGGTCCAAGACGGCTCTCCTGGCCACCACACCCCCTAGTCCAGGGGCCCTGCCTGCAATTCCCAGTAGCCCCCGGCCACCCCTACCTGGCTGCTCAGAGTCCCACCAGCCTCTTCCTGAGTGGGCCTGACGTCTCCCCCCAGGGCATCCACCTCCCTGGGCAAGACCAGTGCCCACTGCGCATGCCCCCCCCACGGCCCGGCGCGGCCTGGTCACTCACTGGCCGCGCGACGTGTGCACCAGCAGGGTGATGAGGGTGGAGGTGGCCGGGCAGACGCAGTTCAGGGCCAGCAGGGCATACTTGCACTCCTCCTCACACACCACGTGGTCTGCGGGCGGATGCTCAGTGGCCCCCGGGCAGACGCCCCAGCCCCCCTGCGCCACAAACTCCTGCTCACCCGGCCCCTCAGGTGCCCAGCTCCGGAAAGCCCATGCAGATGCTGGGAGAGGCACCTGCCCTCACGGACCCCAACCCTGGTGGGACCTGAGTCTGCAGAGCTGGACTTGCCTGCTGTCCCCCAGCCGGGGCCCTGCATGCTCCCCAGCCCTGGGAGGAGCAGCCCACCTGTGTGCACAGGTGGCCCCCGATGTACGAACCTGCGAACTTGACATGAAACTTGTTCTCTGGCTTGAGGATCTGCACGTACAGGGGGCAGTTGGGGGCGAAGTCTTTCACAGCCCAGGCTCGTAGGATAGTTTGGTGGTCCTGGGGCGGGGAGGGGTGATCAGTGCCGGGGCGGCAGCTGGGGGGGTCTCCGAGGGGGATCTGTGGCACTCACCGCCGCCGTGCGGTCCACCTCGTTTCGGCTGCTGAGGATGAAGCAGGCCTCCCCGTTGTCCATCCTGCAAAACATCAATCTGAGCGCTGCCGGGACCCAACCACACTCCTGTCAGGGGCTTGGGGACCATTCACTCCCCTCCCACCCCTGGGGACCCCTGGCTGCAGACACTGTCCACTCACGTCCAGGACAGGGGAGGGTGGAGGCCTGGCCCTCCCCCACCCCAAACTCCACCAGTCTCCAGCCTGTCCCTGCCCTGGAGGCCACTGCCTCTCCCGCGGGCCTTGAGCTGGGTGGCGGATCACCAGGGAGGCTGTGCCACTGGCCGCCACCACCCCTGGGCAGGGGCTCGCCAGCTGCACGGCCGCGGGGCTCACTTGGCTCGCATGAGGTCCTGGTCCTTCAGCGCGGAGCCCTGGAGGTAGATGACACGCTGGGACCACAGGGGTATCTGCAGGACCCTCCGCACCTGGATGTCCATCTCGGTGGGGCACAGGATGACCACGTAGTAGTCCTGCAGGCGGGGGTTGGTCAGCCCGCCCCGCCCACCCAGCCTTCTTGTGTTTTCACACCTGCCGCCTGTGGGACCCCAGACCCATCCCTGCGTGGGGGACCCCCTGGCAGGGGCAGGCTGCGGGCGAGGCCGCACCTGGAGCCGGGGGTGGGCGTAGAACTCGTTTAGGAAGTCCATGAGCAGGTCGATCTTGAGGGAGCTGACGCACAGGATCACGTGCTTCTCTGTCTGGGCCCGGTGGCGGCTGTAGTTGCCCCCCGACTTCTGCCGCTCCATCCACAGGTAGACGAGCTCCTCGAACTGTGGGTGGGAGCGGTGAGCACCAGGTTGCCTAGGCTCAGGGGGCTGGGAGGGCCCCAGCGAGGCACCTGGGGCATGGCCGTGGGGAGATGGTGACGTCAGAGGGGCCCTTTTCCTGTGGGCACAGCCCCGGGCAGCACAGTGGGGTGGCACTGCTGCTCGTGCTGGGACAAGGGCGGAGGCTGAGGAGGCCAGGCAACCGTGGAGCTGTGTTCTGGCCACGTCTGGGAACAGAGGTTGTGTGTGCGCAGGCCACACGGCCACGTGAGACCGGGGGGACACTGCAGGAGGCGCACGTGAGCAAGACACACGGCAGCTCCCGGCCCCAGAGGCCACGTGGCCACGTGTGGGTGTCAAAGTCTGCACGCGGGTCACCCAGGTCTAACTTACAGGACGCGGGGCCTCCATCAACACCGAGACCGTTGTGGAGACACGTCAAAGTGTGTTGGGAAATGCTCGACACAGAACTGAGCACGCAGGCTCCAGGCGTGGAAGGGGCCCTTTCGGACCCATGACCACGAGCCCGGCAGGCAGGTGGGTCCTCGAGGCAGGTCTGGGGGCATCGTCCACCCGGCCCTGCTTCCTGCCTGTGAGCTCCGGGGGTTGGGAGTCGTTTTAAGTCACGAAAACAATCAGGACATGGAAGAGCGTGTGGTTCGGTTGGCTGGAGCGCCATCCTGCGCACCAAAGGGTCTCAGGTTCAGCTTCCAGTCAGGGCACACGCCCAGGTTTGGGGTTTGATCCCTGGTGGGGGCCCGTATGGATGATGTTCCTCTATCGCATTGATGTTTCTCTCTCTTCCTCTCCCTTCCCCTCTCTCTAATAAAGCCTGGCCAGTGTGGCTCAGTGGTTGAGTGTTGGCCCAGGCACAAGAGGTCACTGGTTCGATTCCCGATCAGGGCACATGCCCAGGTTGTGGGCCCATCCCCAGTGGGGGCCATGCAGGAGGCAGCCAATCGATGTTCTCTCTCATCAATGTTTCTTTTTCTCTCTCTCTCTCTCTCCCTTCCTCTCTAAAATCAATAAAGGAAAAAAAAAAAGATCAATAAAAACAAACCCTCGTGCCCTGGCCAGTTTGGCTCAGCGGTAGAGTGTCGGCCTGGTTCCCGCTAAGGGCATGTACCTCGGTTGCAGTTTGTCCCCAGCTCCGGTTGCGGTCGTGTGGGTGGCAACCACTCGATGTGTCTCTCACACGTTGATGTTTCTCTCTCTCTCTCCCTCCCTGTCTCTCTCTCCCCGTCTCTCTCTCCTGCTCTATCTGAAGATGGATGCAAAAATGTCCTGGGGTGAGGATAAAAAGATAAAAAGTGCAGGTAGCGGAGCCGTCGGGGTGCTGGCCCACCAGGGCCTCCCTCTGCCATCTCGGACTCCCCGTCTGAGGTGGGAGGGGCCCTGTGAGGGGAGGTGGCCATGGGGTGGAGGGAGGTGGGGAGCTGAGCCCTAGGTCCCTCTGACCCAGGTCCAGGAAGGAAAGTGGGGTGAGGCGACCTCCAGGGCCCCCAGCCCGGGCGTCCCAGGCACGCGCAGGCCTTCTGCTGCGGAAGCAGCTATGCTCTGGACAAGGGAGTGGAGGGGCCGCCTGGTTGGGAGGGGGCCTGGGCAAACGGCCAGCAGAGGCCCCCTGGGGGACTGGCCTCACGAGGGTGCAGTTAGGTGCCCCCTGCCCGGCCCCACTTTCTGAGTGTGAACCAGTGGCCCCCTCCAGGCCTCCGATGTTCATGCCTCAGCACAGGCTGGGGCTGGGCTGGGTTCTCCCCTTCCCACAGGCAGGCTGGCTGGTGACAGGTGTGCCCCACGATGTCCGGACAGCTGCTGCTGCCCCGCTGAGGGCTCCTGGCTCCCAGCCCACGGGCACCCCGTCAGCCCCTCCTGCCCCGCACCGCACTCTGCCCAGGCACCCCGTGCTCACCGCCCTGACGCGTGGGCCTAGCCGTGACGGACCCTGCAGCCCACGGTGGGTCCACTGTGGAGGGTCTGCCTCCCTCTCGGCCCCTCACTGGAACCGGGGGCTCACCTGCAGGGGGAGGACCACCAGGGCCACGCAGATCATGATGACCACCAGCAGCTGGGACGGCCAGATCTTGGGGGTCACGTCGCCGTAGCCCACGGTGGAGAAGGTGACGATGCAGAAGTAGAAGGACGTCAGGAGAGACAGGTTCCCGCCTGCGCGCTCCAGGTGCTGAATGCCGCACGTCCTGCAGGGCGGGGGTCAGGCTGCGGCAGGGCCTGGCCGCCTCTGAGCTCCGCCTCCCCAGGGGCCTCGGGTCACCTAGGACACAGGGCTGAGCCCGGTGCCCCGTCCCCGGCCGTCTGACACCTGGACCAGCTCGGCCAGCGTGGAGGGTTCCCCCTGCCACCCCCTTCTGCCTGATGGTTCTTTCGAGGTCCCTGCATAATTCATCAGGGGTGCGGATGCAGGGCTACATGCGTCAAGTGTGGGCCTGGGGGTCAGCGGGGCTGGCGTGAACCCCACGCTGGGAGCCCGCAGGCCACCCCGCCTCTCAGGGCCTCCTCCTCCTCCAGGAGGTCAGACAGGGTGTGGGGTGCTCAACCGCCCTGCGGCACAGGGGTGGACAGTCCTTCCCACGCCAACCCCTGGTCCCTGTCTGCACACTAAGAGGTGCCAACGGTGGGGCCTGGGGCCACAGCACGCACCATGGGGAGCACACAGCGGTGCTCGGGACCCCACCCCACGGGGGTGCACTGTGGACTGGCTGCTAGGAGGCAGGGGGCTGAACCCACACTGCGGACACCTCGTCCGGCTCCTTGGAGGTCTGTGTGTGCTGGGGGTGAGGAAGGGGAGGCGGGGTGCACAGGGCCTCGGTGCGGCCCCTCGGCCCTGCTGGGGGACGGGAGCTGTGACCAGCACGTCAGCAGGAGCAGGGCAGATGTGGGGTGCTGGGCTCCCCACCTCGCACTCTGGCTGCTCCCAGACCTTGCTCTCAAGCAAACCTCAAGCCAAAGGGTCCCGCCTGGCCCGGGGTTGGTCCCCACCAGGCTGCATCCTGAGGCGCCATCTGGGAAGCCAGGCCGGGGTGTCCCTGGCCCAGAGGAGCCTGGGAACATGGGCTCCGAGGGGCCTCCCACCATCAGCCACCCCGAGGCCCTCCTGGGCTCTGGGTCACAGGGCCCGGCTCTGCCCACAGAGGGGCCTCTGGGTGGGACTCACCCCGTGAAGACCAGGCACAGCAGGGTGCAGAACAGGATCAGGACCTGGTTGAACATGGCCGACTGCGTCCGCAGGATGGCGCGGTGGAAGTCGTTCTGTGGGACGGGGCGCAGGGGACGGGGCGGTGGGACGGGGGACAGGGCGGTGGGACGGGGGACGGGGCGCGGGGGCAGAGGCTGGGACTGCCACGGAGCCAGGGCCCTTCCCCGCTGGGGACGGGGAGTGGGGGCTGCAGGCACGGGAAGCCCCTGGCACAGGCCAGAGGCCAGGACCTGGGCCTGTACCTCACTCTGCAGTTAGCACGGGGCGAGCCTGGGGCCGGGCTGCATGGGCACAGAACCAGCTGCCCGCTGAGGCCTCTGCCGACACACAGCAGGTCTGCCCGCGGCCCCACCCTGCCCTGGCACCTCCGCCCTCGTCCCCCAGCCCCTCTCCCCAGGGCCCGGGTGACAGCCGTGTCTCCCAGGGCGGGGCTCACGATCATGTTCTCCAGCGCGTGCTTCGCCAGCCAGCAATTCAGAAACACGGGGATGAACAGGTTGCGCAGGGGCGCCCAGAAGATCTGCGGGGGAGACGGGTCAGGGGGCTGGGGACGCAGGGGGCCCGCTCCTCGGCCAGTGGCTCACCCACCGTGATGATGAAGGGCAGCGTGTTGATCATCTCCAGCACGAAGGACACTTGGAAAATCTGCTCCCAGATGTTGCCCTGGGAGCCAAGCGGCCGGAGGTGGGGAGAGAGGCCAGCGGAGGTCAGGGACAGGTGGGGGCAGAGGAGCAGATGGGGGGCTCCAGGAGAGGGCGGGGAGAGGTGGGGAGAGAGGCCAGCGGAGGTCAGGGACAGGTGGGGGCAGAGGGGCAGAGGGGGGGCTCCAGGAGAGGGTGGGGAGAGGTGGGGAGAGAGGCCAGCGGAGGTCAGGGACAGGTGGGGGCAGAGGGGCAGAGGGGGGGCTCCAGGAGAGGGTGGGGAGAGGTGGGGAGAGAGGCCAGCGGAGGTCAGGGACAGGTGGGGGCAGAGGGGCAGAGGGGGGGCTCCAGGAGAGGGTGGGGAGAGGTGGGGAGAGAGGCCAGCGGAGGTCAGGGACAGGTGGGGGCAGAGGGGCAGAGGGGGGGCTCCAGGAGAGGGCGGGGAGGGGGCACTCACTTTGTAGCTGAGATAAATGAGCAGCATGGTCTCCAGGAAGCTTATCACAGCCACGATGACCTGGGGGCGGGCAGGAGCCTTAGGGGGCAGGGCGAGGGCTGGGGGTGGGCAGTTCCCCTCCCACTCACCTGAATCACCCACAGAGTCATCTTCCTCTCCACCCACAGGATGGGAGCCCTGGGGAGAGAGAGGTGAGTCTGGGCAGGCGTCTGGCCGTTGGGGGGCAGGAGGCCTCCTGGTAGATGCCCAGCTGCCTGACCAGGGCAGTGCCACAGGCTGAGGTCCGGGGGGCCCCGCGGCCTCTGTCCCCAGCCCTGGTGACGGGCTCCTATGCATGTCCCCTCGGGGAAGTGCTGACCTGTCTCCCTGCAGGGAGGGGTGTCCTCACCGAGACCCTGCCAGCTGCCAGAATGGAAGGACCAGGGCTGCCCTGCCAGGCTGGGTGGGGGCAGGAGGCCCAGGGCCATCCCTCCTCTGGCCGGGACCTGGCCAAGCTCCGGGGACACGTCCTCCAAAGCAGGCATCCCGGTTGCTCAGGCCCACTTCCCACGGCTTCTTGGGAGCTGCTCTCCACCGCTAAACGCACCCACTACTCACGGGTAGGTCCCGCTGTGCCCCCCTCCCTCCCCACCCACCCACTGCGCACGTCTGGGGGGACACTCTACCTCTTAATGAAGTTGCTCCCAGAGCCCTCAGGTGCCCTTCAGGGACACCCCAGTGCTGCCAGGGCCAGCGGAGCGTGTCCTCAGGGAACCTCCGCGCACCCACCCACGGCCCCGGGCCCCCCACGCCGATGCTCACCAGTTGATCTCTGGGGACGACTCGTTGAAGGTGAAGTTCTGCTTCTGGCAGCCCCAGCTGTGGGGACAGAGCTCGCCTGGCCACGGCCCCTCCAGCACCACCCCAGAAGGGGCCTTCCCAGGGCTGCCGAGGGCTCAGGGGCATTGGGGGTGCCCGTAGAGAGCTGGGCCCGCCTGGTCTCGGCGGCTGCCTGGGCTGGTGGCCACTCGGGGCCTCTGAGGGGCAGAGACGCCCAAACGAGGGGTCTGTGAAAGGGGGGGGCATCCCACCACGGTGCTGACTCCACGGGGCACCCCCTCAGTGCCTCTCAGAGGCCCACTGGGTAGGAAGATGGCAGGGGAATGGCAGACATGCCAGGTCTGCCCCAGACCTTGACCAATGCCGGACACTGACGGGGGGGACCTCACTCAGAGCAGGCAGCTCCCACCCTCTTCTGTAAAATGACCCCCCTAAGCCTACTGTGGCCATTGTGGATGGACCTTCATCCCTCCTGTCCCATCCACCATCTGCCCATCACATTCCATCCACCATCCGTCCATCCACCAACCACCCATCCACCACCCATCCATCCATCCACCACTCATCCATCCACCATCCATCCACCACCCATCCGTCCACCATCCATCCACCACTCATCCGTCCATCCATCCACCATCCATCCATCCACCATCCATCCACCACCCATCCGTCCACCCATCCGTCCACCCATCCATCCGTCATCTGTCCATCCATCCACCATCCATCTGTCCATCCCGTCCCATCCACCACCTAGCACACACCCACCTGTCCTCCCAAGTCCTGCACCTCCCACCCCTGCGCCAGGTCCTACGTGACGAGAGCAGCCCTGGCCCCATGGGGATGTGACCAGGCGCCCGGGGCCGCTGGGACGGGAGCTGAGATGGACCAGCAACGTGCTGGGAGTCAGTGTCCCTCTGAAACCCCCACAATGGGGCCTGCACTCCCCCTGGGATGAAGATGGGAGGTTGGCTCTCAGGAGAGGGTGAAGGCCTCCTCAGCTCAGCCCAGCAGCCCAGGGAGGGGGCAGGAAGAATCCACTCTGGCCAGAGAAGGGGCTGGTTCACCCAGACGACAGTGATGACCAGGCCACGCACCCTGACTGCGGGGCGCCTCAGTGTCTGGGGCCCACCCCTGACTGCGGGGCGCCTCGGTGTCTGGGGCCCACCCCTAGCGGAGGGCACCCAGGTGCCGGACGTTTGAGGACACGCACTCAGGGTGCTTAGGACGAGCAGGGACCGAGCCGCCGAGGAAAACGTAGGAGAGAAAAGGGGCGGCCCCCCGAGAGCTGGGACCCCCCCGGGCAGGAGGAAGCCCCAGCACTCAGGAACCCGGCAGCAGAGAGGAGAGACTCAACCAAAGAGCTGAAGACAAAGCTGAGGAAACCCCCCAGGAGGAGCCAAGGTGGGAAGCTGGAGAGGTCAGGACACGCTCAGGGTCACCCCACATCTGAGTTTCAGGGAGTCCAGAGTGCCAGGCGGCCTCGTTGAAGACAGCCTGGCCCTGTCGGACCAGTCTCGGTGTCCCTGGGACCACGGAGGTGATGAGAAGGGCAGACAGGGCCCCCAGCATCCAGGGAGGAACCCAGGACCCAAGTGGAACAGGCGCGTTGGCCCAACAGCAGCTATAGCAGCCGGAATGTGCCCAGAAAGGGGGCCCCAACTCTCCTTCAGTAACTCTGACCCCTGACCCTGGAGGTCAGGACAGCACGTGCTCTGTGCAAACGCAGGAGAGACTGAGTGAGAGCCCTCGGCCAGGTGGAGTCGAGCGGGGAGAACAGCCGAGACCCTGCCGTGCACCCCAGGGATGGGAGCTGCACCCCCGACTCAAGGAGACACCCTTCCAGGCCCAGGGGCAGCCGCAGTCAGGACAAAGGCACCCTCTCCCCAGGCTGAGCTGGCTGCTCAGCAGAACCTGAGGGCAGCGTCCAGGGCACAGCTCCCTGGGGCACAGACACTGGGACGGGGCCACGCTGGGAAGCAGGGTGCTGGCCACAGGCCTCCAGCCAAGTCCACTGGCCCCCGTGATGGCAGCAGGGCCCGGCAGAGGCCCCGCCCCCCAGGCCACCCACCATCCGATGCCAAGGGCCGGGTCATCGAGCAGGACGCGGACCATGTACAGCAGACACGTGAGCAGCTTCAGGGAGAAGTTGAACAGCCGGATCCTCAGGCCTGCGGGGGGAGAGGGGGAGTTGGAGTGGGGGCATCAGGGCTCCTGGGGCCCCTGCTCCCCCCTCTTTGGGCAGCACAGGCGGGGGTCTAGGGAGCACACCCATGTGTGGGACCCAGGCGCGGCCTCCGCAGGAGGGGTCCGAGTGGGACGGCTATAGACAGAGCCTGCAGGGGAGGGGTGGGCACACTGAGGGGCCAGGAGTCCCCCAAGGTGAGGGCGGGGGGGGGGGCAACCACGGGAGGAGGCTGAGCTGGTGCCCCCAATGGCGATGGGTCCCCAGAGGTCCCAGCAGTGGGCAGAAGGTGGCGTGAAGTGGAGATGAGGGTGCTGCCCATGGCCCCCTCCCAGCCGGACCCTCCCCTGGGAAGCGCCTCTCCCCACAGGCCCCACTCACTGGATCTTTGGTTTTTGATGAAGAAGAGCTTGAGCCGCTCCTTGAAGGTGTTCTCGTTGACGTAGAACTCCACCTGGACCCTGGGGGCAGAGCCGGTGTGAGGGGGGCCAGCCCGGGGGCCAGCCCAGTGCCCCGAGGCCACGCCGTGGGGGCCAGAGCACGCACGGACGAACAGCAGCCGGTTGATGCCTCCCCCTCGGACGGGAGGCCCCCGTGTTCAACGCACCCCTGTGCCCCAGCTGCCTGCCCGCATGGCCTTCCAAAGCCACTGGGCAGCCCTGGGTGCCCCCAACTCAACCATCACAGCCACCAGGTTGACTGTGCCCCCTGTGGCCCTTGGCATGTTCCCCATACAGAATGTTCTAGAAGCCGGCAGTCAGTTTCTTTGTCTGGAGGCCTGGAGCAACTGCAGGAATGTTGGGGAGATGGCCCCATCCCTCTGGCTGACCTACACCCAGCCCCCCAGACACCCGAAGCCCCCAGGCTCCCAGCAGGAAGGTGTCACATGTCGGGGGGCAAGGTCCCCTGGGTCGCGTGCAGTCTGGGGCGATGAGACAGATCCCGCTGTGCTGGCCGGGAGGTCGAACTGGACAGCAGGCAGGACAGCCAGAGTGGACCCGGGCCGGGCCCCAGCCAGGCATGGAGGTCTCCGTTTCCCTCCAGGATGTGGGCACCCCCCCTCCCCCGAGAGGCCAATGACCTGGGGAGTTAGGTGGGCACCTCGCTCTGGGTGGGCACCGGCCGCCCCCCACGTACGGCCTGTTGTGGTCACAGGCTGTGTCTGCCGCCACCAGCAGGTCGGCCTGAGGAACCCACAAGGGCCAGCGGGGCCCCTATGGCCGGACTCACCCATGACACGGGTACCAGCACGTGGGGTTGGGGGCGAGGCTGGGCTCACCTCACCGGTGTCGGGGCAGCCCGGCCTCCCTGGGGATGTTGGGTCGGAACCGGCCGGTCCAGGTGGGGCGGCCCACGGTTCCGTGCCACGGTCGCAATACGGGAGGATGTGGGTGGTGTGGGCCCTTCCCCCTCTCAGGTCCTGGTGCGGGTTGGTCACCTCCCAGGGCTGGGACAGTAGGACAGGTCTCCAAAGACCAGTGACCAGTGTACCCCCCCATGCCCCGTCCCTCCGCCTCCCAGCTCACCGCTGAACCCCTGGATCCCACCCTCCTCTGAGGTGCCACCTGGTCAGGGGAGGCCGCTGAGGGTCTCTTGGGGGAGAGGGTCACACGCCTCTCTCTGAAGTCAGGGCAGGGGCACATGCCCACAGCCGAGCCCTAGAGTCTCGAGGCACCCAGCTCAACACAGCACCCCAACACGCCCCTGCCCTGGCACAGCCAACCTTCACAGGAGGGTCTCCCTACTCCTCGCCCCCGCAGGGCCTCCCATGCCGTACCCCGACCTGGTCCTCTGTTCCCCTCACTTCCAGCTGAGCCCAGGAAGCTGCATCGGCCAGTTCCTCCTGCCTCCCCCAGGACCCCGAACCCAGACCCCAAACCTGTGCCTCAGGAGCACCCCCACTGCCCACGAATTCCCTGCCAGGCCATAAGGGGTCAGACAGCTGACCCGAAACTGATCATGCCCCACACGTATGCTCCCAGACTCCCGGCCCCTCCCCCGCCCAGAACGGGAACCTCAGGGCCCCCTCAGCACGACTAGTGCCAGCCAACCCCTGGCCCCTTGCCCAGGGCTTCGGATCCCTCCGGGGACCCCCAGGCGTCCGGGTGGGGGAGGGGGAGGAGCCGCAGGTGCCGCTGGGCAGTGAGGTGGAGCCCGCAGGGCCAGCGACACTCACCGCCTGGTCACTGTCAATATTTCATGAGCTGCGGCCTGCAGCACCACCACAAAACGCGAATCACAAACCAGCCGTCCACCCCGAAGCACGTTCAAGACCGTGAGGATAATCAGCCCAATTCTGCCGGGCGCTGGGCCGACCCGCCGACGGGATTCCCCGGGAGTGGCCAGGCCACATCTGGGGCTCACCGCACAGGCGGGCCAGGCTGAGGGAGCTCTCGGCTCAGCAAGCTTGGTCCCGGCCACCCGGCCAGACACGGGCCTGCCCCTCACCCGCCCAGCTGAGCCCCCTTCCCCGGCTGAGCCCCCTTCCCCGAGTGGTGGGATGCCGGGCGGGGGCTGTGACTACGGGGGATGGGAAGGTCCCTCTCTGCGGCCCAGGCTCCTCCCCTGAGGTCTGGCTAAGCGTGTTTTTGGGTGGAAGGTTCAAGGAGAGACCCCCAAGTGCTTGGGTGGGACCCATCAGCTCCGACAGGGCCAGCGGTCAGCCCCAGCCTGCCCTGTGTGTCCCGACACCGGCCCACACCCATCACACCCACCGCCCAGAAGAGACGGTCCCGAGCCACAGACCCACGCGTGTGCTGACGACACCAGGAACCGTGGGCAGAACTGACCGTCGCAGGGCCGCTCTGTTTCCCCGCGGTGGTCCAGCTGCGACTCGAGGCCCCGCGGTGGAGCAGGGACCGAGTCACAGGAGGCTGCTCTCGGGCGCCGGGAAAGGGCTGGACAGGGAGCCCGGGAACGGGGGCCCTGAGAAACCACATGGTGAGAGGCCCTGGAGGTGCCTTACACGGGCCGGGGCGGAAGGAGGGACCCTCCCAGTGTCGGCTCTCATTCACCTGGTCCTCTATTGGCAGGACGCCTGGTGGGGGGGCCCCCCGCTGCCCCCTGCCGGGGCCCAGGGAGGTAGCCTGGTCCCAGGGCTGAGAGGCTGCAGGGACCCAGCCTCAGATGGCCCCTGCGGTCAGGCCATGAGCCCCAAGCACTGGACAGGCCAAACCCAGGCCCCATCCCTGGGACAGTCCTCGGCCCCTTCTGTCCTCTGAGGTGAGCAGCTCAGGCTGGTTGGGACGGGGACGGAGGTGGGGAGCCAGGGGCCGAGGGTGGGACTCCAGACGGCCCGTTCCCACGAGCACGGAGCAGGCCCAGGGAGGCCCGAGCCTCCCGAATGCTCAGGGGTCTAGAGGTCAGCTCTGCCCCACACCCACTGTGTCTGAGAGGGCCCAGGCCCGCCGCCTGCCTGTGTCCAGGGTCGCCCACACCACGCGCAGATCCCAGGAGGCCCCCTTGTGAGCCCACCCCACCCCAGGACGGGCCTGCCAGGGGGCCATGGCTCCCGACTGTCGGGCTGGGGGCAGGCTGTCCAGGGACCTCAGGCAGGGGCTCTGGCACAGGCCTTGCTGGGAGGTCCTGGCGGCCAGACGGCCAGGCGGGGAGGGTGGACAGGCCCCTCTGGGCCATGGCAGCGGCACGCACATGGCGCCTTGGTCCGGCGGCCTCCCTCCCCGGTCTGTGGCTGCAGCTGGGGCTCCGCTCACCAGGCCGCAGGGCCAGCCGGTGAGAAGCAGGGCCCAGGCCCCACCGGCTATTCTGAGAACGGTCAGAGACGATAACTAGCCCAGCTGGACAAGGACAGACACATGGCCTGACCCACCTGCCCCCAACAGCCCCAAGTCCTATGGGTGGGTCAGCAGAGCTGGGGCAGGAGGCCCAGGGGCTGGGGGTGGCCTGTGGGGGGGGGCACCAGGCCAGCAGGGGGGGCACGAAGGCAGCTTCGCTCTACCACACTCAGCCCAAGCCTGCAGCCTCCCCTCTGGGGGGCTGGGGAGGTCAGCAAAGATCCCTGCTGAAGACATTCCTCTCTGTCACCCCCAGGACCCTCACCTGGGGGGCTCTGGCTCCCTCTCAGCGGCGGGTGGAAGGGGCTAGCCCGTGGCCACAGGCAGCTCCCAGGGCCCTGCTGCCCAAAGCCCCCGGGAAACAGGAAGAGGGGGCTCCAGGGGACGGGCAGGGTGGCCAGCGACTTCGAAACTAAAGGTGAGCCCTGGTCGGCCCACGGACCAGAGTCGCGGGTTCGACTCTGGGCGAACTACCTCGGCTGCAGTTCGTCCCTGGCCCCGGTCGGGGTGGTGCAGGAGGCGACCAGTCGATGTGTCTCTCTCTCTCCCTTCCTGCCCACTCTATCTGAAGATAAACAGAAAGTATCCTCGGGTGAGAGTTAAAAGAAAATGTGAGCCTGGCCTGTGGCCCACCCCTAAGGCAGCCTGGGACCCGCCACACACAAGTCCAAGGGGTCCTGTCCTGCTCCCTCCACAGGGGCCTCCCGGGGCCTGGGGAAGTCTATCTACCAGCTGCCTCCGGGCGGAAGGGCCCACGCCTGGCCCTCAGGCGGCTGCAGACCATCCGCCTCGTCCCACAGGCTCAGGCCCACCCGAGAGGAGCCTTCACCGCAGGGACCAGGCAGGGGAGACCCAGCCCACGGCAGCCCCCCCCCCCCCCAAGTCCCGGACTGCAGAGAGGTGATGGGGAGGGTGTGGGGCTGGAAACACTCAGCCATCAGAGATGCTAATGGATGAAGCCAACCATCAGGCCCCACTTAGCGCTGCGGCTGGGCAGGTGGGGCCCTCCCGGGAAGGCTGGGACCCGGCTGCTCCGAGGGGCTCTGGTCCCCCAGCCTTAACGCACCCCCTGCTGACTAAATCTTGACTGAAACCAGAAAAGCCCAGGAGGGGGTGGGCCTGCTGTTGTCTGCCTGCCTGTGTCCCTACAGGCACATGGTTCGGTCCCCCTTCCCACCCAGGGCCACCGCGCAGGAGGCCCTGGGCTATCCGCCTCTGCACAGCCCCAGTTCCTACTTCCGGGCTCCTCCCGGGGACCACCCAGTCCCCAGCCTCAGCCCCACCCCAAGACCCAGCAGCGTCTGCAAGGAGGTGCTGGCCAGCCAGACCTCGTCTGGCCGCTGCGGGGCGCACAGGTGTTCCCACCAGGGCCGGCGAGGGCCTGAGCCGCGCTCCTCCCAGGCTCCACGGGGGCGGAGGGTCCTCTCTGTCCCCGCTGCGGCCCCCCCCGGAGAACACTTACTGAGACAGGGAAGAGTCCAGGCTGAAATCTTCCACATGAAGCCTGGGGACAGACATGGAGGGGACACATCAACGTGGAAGACGGACGGACGGACAGACGGAGGGCCTGGCGGGGGCACAGACAAGCAGGGGGTTCCAGGCAGCGTCCGGGGGAGGGGGCAGCGTGCACACCCCCCAAGCTGACCCTTGGGCTCAGAGGCAAGGGG